TATTATCAAAATTCTAAAGACACTGAAGGGCTCACACAGATTGAGATTTTACAATACTGACAAGCATTTAACATGCTCCCTGCTTTGGACTACCTCTTAACTCATTCGACCCCAAGAGATTTCCGGAAAATTAATCATTTTTGAAAATTTGCAAACTTATGCAAATTAGTAGACTCTTGATGCTGTAACTGATGCTGATCTATTAATCTATGTATTGAGATTTTGGGTCTGATGTGTAACAGTGGTTTGATTCCGCCAGTGTACTTTATACGGAGGAAGAAAATCCCCAGTGATTTTTATCCACCAACAAAAAATCACTAGGGTTTTCTATCCGGGTCCAGTGTAAAACATCCACCAGTCATTTTAAGGTTCTAAAAAGGTTTTTTTGAAGGTGAAATATATATAAAATGTGGCTTAATAGTTTTTAGTGTATTTGAAAATTGCATAGTTGATTTATGTAAAAAGTGGAGAGTTTTCATCCAAGGAATGTTCACACTAGTGTTTTTGAATCAGGAATGATTACACTAGTGATTTTGTACCGGAATGATTGCACTAGTTATTTTATACCCGGCGGGATTAATTACACTAGTGCTTTAGATCTATTCATTGATGAGGTGATTAGTACTCATTTTGAACTCACGATAACACAATAATGCTTATTAACGAATGAGATTTAAATAATTTTTCTATGCAAATCTATAAAATCATATGCTTTTAAATTGTCACTAATTGTAATATTCATATTTAAATATAGAAAATATGATAAGATTATTCATTTTCCTACTACAAGGTTCCTACCAGAATTAATTTATTCCTACTAGAAAATCTTTCTACATGGAATCTTTTTAATTATCTTAAACTGGATTCCTGTTTGCTAATTATGACATAAATTTTGCTGTGTTGAATGCAAACAAGTTCCAGTTCACAAATTCAAAAGTTGAAGGGTAGAAGAAAAAAAAGTTGTGTTGGAACACAATATGCTGCAAGGGTTAAACAACTACAATATCGAAATATGAGAAAATATGGCTCATGTAGATTGAAGGTAAATTTTATACTTTAAAGATTAAATTTTTGATCTGTATGCCAATATATTTAGTAATCAGTTAATTCAACAATATTGCATAATTTTATTTTACTTATTAATTTTTCATAACTCTTTAATTTCATCTTAGAATCAACCTTTTTGCCCATCTACATATATGTTTGGATATATCACAGCTTACTCATACATTTCAAAAGTCAACTTTTTTTAAATGAATATATTCCATGCATTTCCTTTGTTTTTTGTTGTTGAGATTCAAACTTAAATGATTGACCCAGTTGTATATTTGTGAATATACACTTACATTTTGTATATTTTTAGAATCCTACTAGAAAATATTTTTTTCTATGTGGAATTTTGAAAAATTCCTGCCAGGTTTTCTAGTAGGAATTTTTTTTCCCGCCAAATTATTCCTGCTAATTTAAATATTCCTGGTAGAAATATACAATATTCCTACTAAGAAATTCCTGCTAATTTAAATATTTCGGCTATTTTCCGTGTGGATTCCTACTACTGTCTGACTAGAATATCACTCTTTTCTGGTAGGAATTCAATGCAATATTCCTACTATATTCCGTGTACATTCTGTGTGGAATAATTTATGTAAACAATAAACCGGTCTAATATAAACAAAACGATATCAAGATCGACGCTTTCACACTATTTACATCCAATATTCTCTAGTGAAAAACAGTTACCCGGAATAAATACATGGCGGAATGAAAGAACGCTTACAGATGGCATGGCTGGGGGGTGGGGTGGGACGTGGTATATTTTCTGGTGGGTTTGAACCCACCCCCACTGAAAAATGATCATTTTCAGTCCATTTTTCGATTTTAATACGACCTTGAGAGGTGAACATTAACTAAACTGTGTTTCTTTGTCATTCAAGTAGTACCTTACAGTTACAGCAGTCTATCCATACTGACTGGAAGTAAATGTGACTTGAGAATCTTGCTGGGGAATTATTATTGGGTAGCCAACTATGCCTAAATGTCCGTTTTTACCGATTTCTGACAAAACGGTGACCTAGATTTTACAGACCACATTTCTTTTGGCCCTACTATACCTCATTGTGTTCCTGTACCATCTATGCATGTATTTATGATAATAGTTGATACCTACAACCCATACCAGTAACGTAGGGGTCGTTAAAAGACTCCCACCCCCACCTGATTTTGGCTTCTTTACACGTTTTTCCGATTTTGAACTCTAAAAAGGCCATTTAAGTTCCCATATTTTCATAATCACACATCTGAGAAGAGTTTATGGACCATGAATTGCATGGTTGACGTCCCTACTGTAAAGACAGTTGAGCTAGGGCAGTTCTAAAAATGTATGGAGGGTCATACAGGCCATCAAAGAATGGTGGTCGCCATCACGACTACAGGCGGGATTGGGGGCGAATGGGTTAAAGTCAGATACTGCTTTCACAAGGAGTCAGATTGAGTACAAAAGTAACCTATTCATCCAAATCTCTGCATTTTTATGATAGCTTATGATCAAAAACGATTTTCATGTGAAATATTATAAAAATAGGATATCCATATAATTCTGGACTCTTTAACTTTTAATTTGACAATTACCATAAGGGATAGCTAAATTTTTAAGTATAAGGAGCAATAAAGTATACAAAAAAATTTGATTGTTTTTATTTTGTCAGATTCTTAATTTCTAATAAAAAAATAAAACTTGGAGGAAATATTGATCTTTATTGTCATTCAATCAAACAAGTGTCTTTTGTTATGGTAAAGGTAGATTGTCTGTATACCACCATCAAAAATGGTCAATTGACCCCTTAAGGAGTTATTGCCCTTTATAGTAAATTTTTACTAAAATCTTCTCTTCTGAAACTACTGGGCCAAATTTAATCATACTTGGCCACAATCATTACTAGGGTATTTAGTTTTAAAATGTGTTCTATAACCAGGCTCACCAATCAAGATGGCCGACATGGCTAAAAATAGTACATAGTGGTAAAATGCAATTTTTGGCTTATGTCTCTGAGACATAAGCATTTAAAGCAAATTTGGCCATGGGTAAAAATGATCATCAGGTTAAGATTTATCTGTCCTGAAATTTTCAGAAGAATCAGACAAGTCGTTGTTGGGATGCTGCCCCTGAATTAGAAATTTTGCAGTTTTTGGTTATTATCTTGAATATTATGATACTGTAAAAGCAGAAATTTTCGTGGTGGATTTAATTTCCTTTATTTCGTGGAAAGAATATATCCATGAAATTAAAACCCCCATGAAAATTCAACCATCATACCATATCAATTCCATTTAATGAAAACCATGAAATTAAATCCCAATGAAATCTTATATAGAGACAAAACCATGAAATTTTAACCCCACGAAAATTAATGTTTCTACAGTAGATAGAGGTAAACTGTAAACCGCAATAATGTTCAGAAGATCTTCAAATAAGTCACATGATCAAAATGGTCAATTGACCCCATAAGGAGTAATTGCCCTTTAAAATCAAATTTAACAATTTTTCATAAATGTTTGTAATCTTATACAAAAGTCTTCTCCTGAAACAACTGAGACAAATTTAACCAACTTGGCCACATTCAGCATTAGGGTATATAGTTTAAATAATGTGTCAATCACTCAATGACTCTGCCTGCCAACCAACATGGCAGACATGGCTAAAAATAGAACTTAGGGGGAAATACGCAGTTTTTGACTTACATCTCTGAAACTAAAGCAAAAGTATAACGGTTGCATCATTTCATGCATCAATTGTAAATAAAGATATCAGGTGAGAGACACAGGCTCCTTGGATCCTCTAGTTTAATTAAATCTCCATTTATTTAGACAGATTGGCAATTAATGTGTTAGACTGCTCATTTAGATGAAGATTAATTGCATTATTTAGACTTTTTGAAAGAATACTAAATATTTGTTTTGTTTGATTTATTTTTTCAGCTTAGCCATATCGGTGAGATAACTCGTAAAGTAGGGTTTTTTTTTTATACTGGAACAATATGCACAATAAGCATAATTTCAATGTATATGCCCATTCAAACCGAATTTTATGAAAATTAAAGTAAAATTCTATTGACCAGTAGAGATGATTTTAACAGGCATGATAGCATTTTTACAAGCCTAGGCAAAGATTGCTGAAATATTAGTGAAATTTTCATCTTTAACTTGTAGCAAGAAAACAAGTTTGTTGACCCCATTTTTTCTTTTGAATTTTTTTTGTTTTAATTATTAATGAAAATGAAATAATGATATAATAATTTGCTTTTAGCAGCCAGGTTCAGTTTTGTCAAGATAAGCAAAGAAACATGGCTAATGGATTATTCATTTGCAAGTGAATAGTTTGAACTAATTAAATCTGTATGCATATGAACTTAAATTATACCCCTTAGCTAGAGATGGGTTAATTAGGCATGAATTAGGCATGTTCAGCTATTAAGAAGAATATAATATCAACTTAGGAAGTGAAACAATTATGTTAAACCTGGCGTCGTATATTTGTTCTGCCTAACAGATGTTCCACTAGAAACTTTGTTATAAACAATGTCATAATATCTGTTCCTGTTGGAATAAATATTCTATTATATATCATTTATGCAATAAGGAACATATTCTGTAATATTTATTCTAGTGGAAATAATATTCCAGAATACTTTTTCTATGTGGAACTTTTATGAAAAATAACTTTAGCACCATCCCTCACCCACAACAATGTTTGCTGAAATATTCTTTATATTACCATATATATCCTTAGTACTTAATTAACCAAAATATCAATAAGTGAGGGGTGGCACCATATGAAATCATGAAAATAGGCTGAAAAAGGTGACACTTTTTAGAAGAATGGATTAGAAAAAAATTCTATACCCATTTCAGGCTCATCTATTTAAAAATATGATGCAGATATACAATTTTTCTGATTATAATTTCAAAAATAAAATACAGGTCAGTTTATCATCTCATTTTAGCCAGAGGTACCCAATTGGTCGAAGAAATCTGAGTCAAACTTCACCTTACAGCCAATACAGGTAAGTCTCATTTAACTGGTTAATATAGCAACACAATGTACATACAGAAAGATTCACTCAAACAATCCAATATAAAAAAAAAATAAATTTTACAGGGCCATTTATTGTGGTTTCTGTCTCTACTTTGTATACTCATTTGACCCATCAATTGACCTCGTTATTACCAGATGACCCTTTGTAAGATTTCATCTCCCTTTTTACAAATTATCTCCCTTTTATTGTTTTTTAACATGGCGTCTTTTTTGAGGATATCATGACCCTATTTGGACAATAGGTACATCTCATCATGAAGTATCACCAGTGTTATATGCCCTTGAAAACATTACATTTATTTGCATATATCTTTAAAATTGTTACAAATAGAATTGATCTGAGAATGGCAACATGTACAGAAACACTCTATATATAGCTATGCAAATTATAAACAGAAAAAAAAGTAATTTGTTATCAACCCTTATAAGAGTTATTTCTCTTGTAGTCATAGGGACAAGGCACCTTCACCAATAATTTTTACGCCTATTGCATAGAATGTTCCTTTCAAAGAACAACGTTGTATGCTTATGACTGAAAACTGTTCAACAATCTGTTCAAAAGTTACGTCAATTAAGAATAGTTTTTGTGTATATCTTTGAAACTAAAAAAAGTTATTACGAGATAATTCTTTAAAGTATCCTGTTTTGTGTATATTTTTGAAAGAGTAACAAAAATAATACAGGTCAGTTTTATCATTTTAGCCAGAGGTACCCAATTGGTCGAAGAAATCTGAGTCAAACTTCACCTTACAGGTAAGTCTCATTTAACTGGTTTAAGTATTTAAGCAATACATGCAATAGAGATTTATAAACTCAAAACAATTGAATTTAAAAAGAAACACCTTTACAGGGCCATTTATTGTGGTTACTTGCTAATCTATCTCCTATAAACTGCAAAAATGATCAGTATTTTTTAAAAGACCTTAAAATATAACTGACCTTTTGACCTGTTGAATGGTGGCAGTCCCATGTGACTTCCAGTTCTGTTAAAGTTCGGTATGAGACATTGGTTGTGCCCTTAATGAGCCATGGAAAAGCCCCTGGGATTATTTTTTATACGCCTGTTTACAGGACGTATTATTGTATACCGTTGTCCGTCTGTCCTTCCGTCCTTCGTCAACATGTCGGTCATTAACTCAAAAACACTTTAACCAATGTGCAAGAAACTTTGATGAATTGTTTATATCTATTGAAGTGAGCTCCCTTGGTTTTTTATAAATTTTTGATTTTAAGTTTCCGAGTTATGGGGTTTTTTATTTATTAAAATAGGGGGATTTTCCAGTTTTCAGACAATATCTCAAAAATGCTTTAAAAACCAATTTGCATTTAACTTTGGTGAATTGTTTATATCTATTGACGTGAGCTCCCTTTCATTTTTTATCAATTTTTGATTATACGTTTCCGAGTTATGGGGTTTTATTCATTGAAAAAGGGGGGATTTTCCAGTTTTCGGACAATCACTCAAAAATGCTTTCAGCAGGTCTCATGACACTTTGGTAAATAGTTTACATTTATTGACATAAGATCCCTTTTTACTCATGAACCATTCGACCAAAGCTTTTAAAATTTTAATATGTTGTTACTGATGACAAAATGGAGGTCATGTTCAATAATGACGATTTTGACTTTTACCGTTCAGGAGTTATGGATCTTGAAAGATCGACAAATGGCGTTTCCAGTTGTGTCCGTGTATTTACTCATGAATTGTTCAACCAAAGCTTTTAAAATGTTAATATGTTGTTACTGATGACAAAATGGAGGTCAAGTTCAATAATTAGATTTTGACTTTTACCGTTCAGGAGTTATGGTTCTTGAGAGATTGAAAAAATGGTGTTTCCAGTCGTGTCCAAGCATTTACTCTTGAACCGTTCAACCAAAGCTTTTCAAATTTAAATATGTTGTTACTGATGACAAAATGGAGGTCAAATTTGATATTTACGATTTTCACTTTCACCGTTCATCAGTTATGGTCCTTGTGATATTGAAAAATGCCAGGACACAAATAAATGTTAATAAATCCAGTTTGCTGTAGCTCTGACAGCCTCTTGTTATTTTTATAAATTTTAGGTTTTACGTTTCTGAGTTTTGGGGTTTTATTCATTAAAAAGGGGGGATTTTCCAGTTTTTGGACAATAATTCAAAAATGCTTTCAGCAGTTTTCATGAAACTTTGATAAATTGTTTGTATCTTTTGTTTAAGCTCCTTTTCAATTTTTATAAATTTCTGATATGACGTTGAGAAGTTATTGAACTTTATTCTTTGAAAAACCCAATGGGCGCATCATGTGCTCATGGCGCAGCTGTTTATTTAAAAAAAGTAATGGGCCTTGGAAATATTAAAGGACAAGGTACGATAAGAACCGTTTTTGGCCCCCTTATTTTCTCATTTTTCAAAATTTGTTTTGAAAAGCTGCTTATCACGTTAAATATTCGCTTAGGTTTGAAGTTTGTTTGGATGAACTTCAAAACCATTAATTTCAGAAAATGGGTGAGGTGAGGGGGGTAAAAGGGCATCAAAAACGCCAAAAGAAGGAAAAATTACGATTTTTGGCCATTGTTTCTAAAAATTTAATAGTGTGCGCCTACGTGACCCGGAGAAAATTATGGCGATTTAGACAGCAAAAACAGTTCTCATGACATTGGAATAAAAAAATTTCTGGGTCACTTTGGCGCAGGCACTTAAAAACTAAAAATTAGTTGTACTGAACACCTTCAAAGTGAATAATAATTACAATATTTGAATAATAACAGAAAGTACACCCCCTCACCTCACCCAGTTGCAAAAATTAGTGGTTTTGAAGTATATCCAAACAAACTTCAAACATCAGGGAATGTTTTAACTTAAAAAGTAGCTTTCCAAAACAGAATTTGAAAAATGAGAAAATAGGGGGGCCAAAAACGGGCCTTATCGTACCTTGTCCTTTATGGAAAAGAGCCTGGTCAGTGCTCTGATGGGTACAATTCTTGCCAGATTTTAATAAAACTCATGTTCACTTTCTTTTTGCTTTTTGTCCAAAATGATAGAAAGTTTTATTTTTAATTGATAAAAATACACTTTAAATCACAAAATGATCAGCAAGTCATGATCTACTTACAAATAAAATTTTGCCGATATAGTTAAGTAGACTGTGACTCTTTATAGAATGGGTTGCCCTTAAAAATTTTGTGTTTTGAGCAAAAACTAAAGAAGATAGAGAGAATCTAAACAGGCTAAATGATCAACAATACAAGATCAACAAAACAGATTTTATTCATGAATTCTATTCTTCTTTACAATGTTGTAGAGTCCTTTGTTGAATATGCACATAGACCAAGGTGAGCGACCCAGGCTCTTTAGAGCCTCTTGATATATTTCTATATGAAATAGGATCCCAGTTACAGATAATAGTCAAGTACCCACAAATAAAGTCCCTTAATGAATTTATATTTTTTTAAATGGGATATTGTACCGAGATGAAAATTATGTAAAGATGCTTAAATATTTATATCCAAATGCTGTTCATTAAACTTTCAAATTCTGTAAAATTTTAAGTGATTCTGAAATGTAAAGGGTGGACGATTGTCTGAGTAAATGGTAAATTTTATTTTTGATTTTAACCAAGAAGTTAATAAAATCACCCTATTTATACTAAAAATAGTATTTCTCTCTTAAATCCCGTTTATGACCCTTCAAGAAACTATGACAAAGTAATTGAAATTTTGCAGTCTAATATAGGGGAAAATTTGTAAGGGTTCCAGGAACCAAGTGTCTCACCTACTTTTGCTGTTAGTATATAGCAGACTCAACAAAAATTGGGGAAAAAATTTCATCTAGATACTATCTGTTGATCCAAATTTTGGTAAAAATCCAGGATGGTTTAATTTATGTTCTAAAAGTTTTATTTGTTTTTACTGCAGACTGTATGTAATGTTAACTTAAAGAAAAGCTTTTAAAGTCCATTTATAAGTAATATATGGAAAAACAGAAAATAACAATTTTTTACAAAATTTCCTTCTAGTTTTAGATCATAAACAATCTTCTGTCTAAGTTTGTTACAAATCCAGGATAGTTAAAAGAAAGTTATTAAAATTTTAAAACTTTACCACAGAGTTAATGTAATGTTTACTGGCAGAAAAACTAAGTCCATTTATAAGTAAAATACCGATAAACTGTTAAACAGGATTTTTTTTTTTACAAAATTTATTTCTAGATACTATCTTATGATTTTAAACAAGTTTCTGTCCCATTTTGGTAGAAATCCAGGATAGTTTAAGAAAGTAATTAAAATTTCAAAAAAATTAACCGCACAAAGAGTGAATATTTGTGGACGACGGAGGATGTAGGATTGCTATGTCTCGCTTTTGTGACAAAAGTCACAGGCTCAACAATAAAAATATGCCCCTCAGGCCATAAAAAAGAATAGGTTTGTTTGCCATTACCCTACCTACCCAGAAAATAGCTGCCTACTCAAAATCTTTTATTGTCCTGATGTGAATTTTTTTTTTTTTATTAAGATAGACATGAAGACTAATAAATATCTGACATTTCAATTTCGCTTTGAAAGAAAAAAACAAAGAAAATGCCTACCTACCTACCCTCTGTCTCAATGTATGGGTAGGGTTTGGGCAAACCAAAGTCTTTTTAAGTGTGGCCTCAATTATGATAAAGTTTCATTGAAAAAATGGAGGAAACAATTGGGTTCCCATTCCATATAATGATAATCCCTTCAGATTTCAGAAACAGATCTTTGTTAATTATTTTGATTGGATTTATATTACAACATACTGTTTATTTATACAAAATAATACAAATATTTCCATGAATATGAAAAAAAAATATCATGTATCAGTAATCATTCAATATCTGCCCGATACTTTAGTGGAACAATACTTGATGAAGTGTATTTATAGTCATTAGATCATGTTATTCTAATATTTTGATAGAAATCAGATGCATGTTCCAGTCAGTCACCCAAACCTGTGACAGAAAAAACAGAAGAAAAGGAGAATATGTCACCTGACAGTTCTAAGTCTCCAGGAGAACTAGATTTAGATTTTCCACCAATGTTTATCAACAGTGGTAATGGAGAGGAGAGCAGAGAACAGCACAATCTAAAAGAAAGAAAGAGAAGGTACTAAAGGTGCATTAACTTGTTTTTTTATTCATACATTTACAAGAATTCAGTAGTGAATTCTTTATTGATAGCATTCAGTTTGGTTCAATTTTGTCAATAAGCCTCAAAACTAGTTGATATATTATTGACTTGCAAGTCAAATATTTAACATCATTTAGATCCATATACTTTCAATTTTGGTGTGACCTCAGTTGATAATGATTGCACATGTACTCATGAAGTTCAGTTATTCAAACACATATAGTCTTCTGAAAAAGTGAAACTAAGGTCCAACAGGAAGACGGATAGCATTGACTGTTAGAACTCCCGAAAAATAATTTCTTACAGGAGACACAATAATATACTCAATGCTTTTTATGTATGGTTAGTGAATTGATGATCATTTTCAAGACATTGTACAATGATCTTTTTCTCTGTCAAGTTTCATAATTAACAAGCAAACCAGATTGTAACTTAATTTACTTGAAAATATAAGTTATTTGCATTCTTCAAATTGTTCATTATCATCATTTAGTTCATTGCTGAAATGAATGTGCAATTGTATATTTGGAATGATTTTGGGTGACAGAAAATGCTGCATCTTTCAATGATATTGACACTAGTAGAATAGAAAATATATACATCTTTCTGTATATTCTGCTGACTGGAATGAAGAATTATCCTCTCAGATTGTTTCTGCGGAGATGGCATTAAGTTTTACTCTTGTCCATCTGGACAACTCAAACATTACTTTTGGTTCTCTAACTAATATTACCACTAAAAACAAGTTTGAATTTGGGTAGCTTTCCCTTTCATCATTCTCTAGTTTTGTCCTTTCTAAATGAAAAAAATGCTAAATTTGCCATTTCTACACATAAACTTCATTTTACCACAAATAAATGTTCTGAAACTTATACACACAGCTTATTACCACCAAATACTGTTAAATTCGAATTTGGGTGTTCTCAATTTCTAAAAAAAATTATTGAAAATTGCCATATTTGCTGCTCACTCTGTCACTTTTACTGTTATGTTTAGTGTAAACATATTTTATTTGCTTACATATGCAAAGGGGATGAGACACAAATTAATCAAACTTATATTTATATAGTCTTCTTCCATTACTGTTATGCCTCTTTACTGAAATATTTCTTTTGTTGACACTCTTTTCAGGGTTGTAATTTATGTGGAGACATCTAGACAATTGCTACAAATTGCTGGCTGACCAAACAATAAAAATAGAGAAAAAAAATAACATATTATTTGATAATTCTTGTCTCTACACCTTTCTGACATTATAAACACATCTATCATAGCTGTGACCTCTTAAAACATGTCGAATTGAAACCTTGTTTCATGATTTATTTATGCAGTATGCTTGCAGTCTGTCTCGATTTCTCTCTTTAACAATACACAAATATTTACTGTCACATTGTATTTTTTGCTTGTCAAGACGAGAAATTAATATTTAAACTTTCCAAATTCAAAGTATTTTTTTTTTGTAAACTAAGTTTACCTGCATTAATTTTGTCAGTGTCACAATTTTATGAAATTTTGTACAAATTTAGAACCGTCAATGAAAAAGTTCTGTACCAAAACATAGAACTTAAGCATTGTCTTTAATTACTTGTTGTAAATTCATTGTCCTTTAAATTATCGATTGTTTTTATTGGTCTTCACCAGAGGGTGACATTCAAAAGAATTGTCTCCCGCTCATTCATGGGATAGAGTCTCCCTTGTATATTTTAACTTATAAATTCCACAGATACAATCAAGGATCCGGAAATTTTTCCAGACAATTTCGGTCATTTTGAGATGTTTGAAAAGTTAACTGGTGCCCCTTTTCAAATTGTCGATATCAACTTGACTATATTCATAGCATCAACGAACATGACGAACTTGTATTGCTGTTTCATCGCATTTACTAAGTAAATGTCTTACCATTACCATGAAGGATAGTATAGTGAAGGCAACAGTCTAAAATTGAAATGATTTTAATGACTCAAAATGGTTAATTTCTCAGACATTGCTTACGTTTCTTTCGATTTGACAAAAGTTAAAACCGGAAGTTTGCGATATTTTAAAGTATGAATAATTCCGGATTCATTTCCGTGATTTGTTTTGTTTATCAAACTGACAGGAAGTCACCGGCTTTTTATGGCTTTTTTATTTTATTACCTTTAAAAGTGTTTGAATATAACAGACAATAGTTGCACTCGTTTAATTTAGCATGAAATCAATTTGCATTTCACGATTAAATATTAAATCTGCTGAAGACAATTTCATGCATGCGTATATTACATAGTAAATAAAGCACATGTGTTTTCATGAAAAAATACTTTTTAATTTTTAAATCAGAATTGATGACTGTCTTTGATGAAAAGTAAATAAATAATGAATACACTTGTCAGGGAACTTTAATGTTTTAAAGATATTATTCTGAGCTTTGTGATCACTGTCAGGTGTGAATTAAAACCACAGGTAAAAAGTGATTAGCGATCATTAGCCAATGTTTCCCGGAGGCATTGATATAGATATTAGGAGGGCCCTCAGGATTATCAAACTACTGTAGTGGCAGTTTTATTACAGGAAAGGGATTATAAACAAAAACAAGTGATCACAAGTGCAAAATGGCGATTAAGAAATCCGATTTCAAACATTGAGTCAATGAAATGACCGAAATTACTTCTGTAAAAAAATAAAATTTGTCCTAAATCCCAATTACTTGTTTAGGACAAATATTTTCATCTTAGGACATGACTGGCAAATATGACCGTTTCCGGACCCTTGGATACAATCATATTTTTAATGGAATCTACAAAAATTATAGAATTTTCATTTAATACAAAAAAGACCAATAAAGGACATTTTAATAAAGGACATTTTATTCACTTATATTCTGGATTTATAAAAACTCCTTCAACAGAACTAGTTTTAAAAATGAAAAGGTACGGATGTGCAAATTTTTTATTTTTTGTGTATGAAAATATAAGGGATCATCAGATTCACTTTTGCAATCTTAAACATGATAGTAAAACATGAACTATTAGTATTACAATTAATTGAAGCATAACGTTGTCACTGCCTTTTTCATTTTACATAACAGGACTATAACTGATTTTTCTACCAAAAAACTTGTCCTTGGAATATCAAATTGTTTTCACGGCAATTGTCTTGCAAGAGGCAAGTTCTCTTCACTCTCTGATGTCGCCCCTGCATGTAATTCGTGATCCATGTTTCTATTTTACTTTTAGTTTTCAGTGTTGATGGTCTATGTCTTTTGTTCATTTATTGTCCTAATTTATGACTATAGTCTAAGTGTTGATTTTCATTTGTAAATGTGTGGTTTGGCAATGTTGCATGTCCACCAGTGTCCAGACATTGTGCGAGAAAATATTTTAAGAAGATACGATGCTACTGGACACAGAAAAATTGGTTGTTTCTTCATGGAGAATTGAACACAAAACTTGCTCTTTTTTTGTAGATAAAGATAAAACTAGATAGCTGACATGTTTTTACATTGAAGGGTTAAACTTGCTTTAAGTCGTGTTCAGACCCTTTAACAGAAAATAAAGGAAAATGGAGTAAACATGCACGGGACTTAATCGCACACAAAGTCAATGCATAGAAAAAAATACATATTATCAACAGTCAGGGTTTTTATTCCTGTTCTTCATCTTGATAGTTGCTGGAGGGTCTTCAACAATGAAAGAATCAATAATACCATAAAACAAGGTCAAGATGGTCCCTAGTGTCGACTCAAGCATTACTAGTACTTAAAGTATAATACTGCACTGTCACTATATATAAATCTAGTCATAAAAAAATTCACCTAAGTCTAAAGACAATACAGGCAGATCCGGTATTAATGATTATGAGAATTACGATTTTTTCTTTATCCTGCATATGGTCTTTTAATGTTGTCCTTAAAACCTAAAAGTCTTAAATTACAATGAATCTATATATTTGCTTTGAGACCAGAAGGATATATTTCTGAAAAATAGCTAAAAATTAATTGCGTTTCAATGTAAGAAAGAGTCCGGGAAACGCTCAGAATGCATGATTTTGCGTGATTTTTCTCGGAGCCATACCCCTTGCCGAAATTTTTTTGCCTCGCTACGCTCAGCTAATATATTTTGCCTCAATTTTAAAAGAGGCTAGTTACGGCCCAGAACTCCAATTAAATGCCTTTTATTGATGATTTCACATACATTATATTATAGTTCCTTTTCAATTCTTAATTTGGAAAAAAAAAGAATTGAACATTATTACTTTTAAATTCATATGCAGTTTAACGAGTTCTGAAAGTTTTATAAAAATCTGAAATGCTGATCAATGATTATGTAGAATTAGCCTTGATTTTGATAGTGGCCACAGATGTATTTCAGTTCCTATTTTGATAAGACTGTTGTACATAGAACTTCAGCTTGAAAACAATTATGTTTGGAAGAAAACACTTTTCTGGAGATAAGAGGAAATGCTGAGGAAGCATTTTAAATATAAAACTATAAGTGCTATCACAAATAAGAACAAAATTATGACTTTGAGAACTCATAATGATAAAACTAATAATGTTCATTATGTCTTCAACAAACTTGAAAAGGAAACTGAAATTCATTTCCACTAGGAGGGCATGAACACAATCACTTGAACATGCACATAGAGAATTTGTGATGTTAATTTTTCTGAATAATAATAATAATAATAAAATTCTTTATTTAACGAAGGTAACACATCAACATTGACATGTTAATCTTCCATGAGATCTTCAAAACTATTAATACAAATAGAAAATAAAATAAAAATACAAACAAAATAAAATACATAATACAGTTACATATAGCAGCATAAATATTAAATAAGTACATATAAGTTCAATAGAAGAAGAAAAAATACATTAGAGGTAGATATTATATATTATGAGTCATTTTATAAAAACTTCACTTTAGATATACAGCATATACTGACACATTCCCTTTCTAAATTAATTTAGCCTAAAACTAAATAATAAGATATATTTTTTTCACAACATTAATACAGGCATGACAAAATGTGATATTTTTTATTCTCTCAGGGCCAGAATTAAAGATGCCTGTGAAGTAATGAGAAAACTGGTTCCTGGTATGTCTGATAAAACAGATAAAGCAACAGTATTTGAGTTTGCTGCAAGATATATTCATTTCCTGAAAGGCTTTACAGGAAACAAACATGATAAGGTCAGTCACTTATTGAAACAAACAAACATTAGGAATCAGGTTAAATATCTATACTCATATATTATTCACATTTTATGAAGAAAAAAAATAATCAAGAGACTCTTGCATGATAATGTTTACAAAAATATTGACACAATTTTCAATAAAAAGAAATATTTGCATTCTCAAAGAATGCTGCAAAAAAAAAACAACACTTAAATTTATATTTCATGACAGTCTACAGACATTGTTGTGATATCAACACATATTTGTTATAATGATTGATAAAGTTACCATACAAATTTTTTGCTTTTCTGGTTTGTTGTTCCGGAGTTATTGGACATTACAATTTGAGAAAAGGCAATTATTCATGTATGACACTGCTCCAGGGTTCTCACTAAGGCAAGTCTATGAGTCCTGGACTCTTAAAAATCTGTCTGGACGCACCATTTTCAAAACTGTTGAGTCCAAAGATGCATCAAGTTTGAAATATTTTGTATACTGTGGATTCATTATGATTCGTTGGATACCATTTTTCGTGGGTTTTGTGGGTACAGTTGAACCATGAATTCAAATATTCAACGAATTACAAATGTTCTATAGGTTTGGCATGCAGAGATTGGCAAAACCAAGAAATAAAATATCTACGAAAATTCAAGTTTTCCTCAATCCATGAAAATTGATACCCATGAAAATATATGAATCCCAGTAAACTGAACACATACATATAATTTTTAGCAAAAGTTTAAAAGTTATCTGAATTTAATGTCATTTTGTTGCTCTATTAGGTCATAGAGACTAAAATAATAAATTATATTGCAATAAGATATCTTCTTCTTCTTACTGTTGGACTCACCATGGCCAAAAATAACAAGTTAAAAAATCCTTAGTGAGATCCTGTATTCCTGGATTGATTTTTGCAACTTTACATTATTTTTTGGATTGATATACATTAATATTCCATATAAGAAAGTAAAGTACCTATGACTTTGTTAGGACAGGTTGGAAATTTCAAATGCCACTAGAAAATGAGGGTTCAGTGATAGCGACTGAAATTATAACTTGCGAAAGGCCACCAACAGGCCCCTCAAGGTTAATCATGTACAGGGAGCATCATCTTTATAGCTTCCCATGCACTGTATATAGTTCCAAGTATTTTGTATTTACATGGTACATTAGGCAAATTAGTTTAAATGAAACCTATTTGTATGAAGTATAATTTTGAGGTGTACAGAATACTAAGACGATGATGTAGCAAAGACTATGGAAAGCACTTCAAAACGTCGATTGCACAGAGGACTTAGTTTAGTATATATGCATGCTTTTGTTCAATAATTTCTTTATAATTATTATAACCAGAAATTCAAATTATATGACTTACCAGTGATGCATATATTTCATTTATTGAAAACTTAAACGTCACTACAGACAATTGGTTATAGATATTGGGGTGGGAAATATAAATCACTTTAAAAGGGCCAGAAGAATGCCACAGTCCAACTTAACACTAGAGAATGAAAACTTGTCTGTTTTGATGTGAAATTTTTTTTTAGATTTTCACGTGTCAATCTGAAATTTTAAATCTAGAAAAAGGACAATCAATGCTGTTAATATTAGATTTATCTAAAGAAAATTCACATGGATAATTTTTAGCAGTATAGTAAGATAATTCTTGATTATTAAAAAAAAAATATGAGTGTTATTAAATTTATCAATTAAGTGGAAATTTTTACTAAGTTTTATAGATAATAGGTCACTTTTGGATTTCCCTATCAATATTTCCCAATATTTACCACCTTCAATAAGTCTGTAATACACGATTCTATCTTTCTACTTATTATTTCTATTTTAAATGGTGGTTCTTTGGAAGAAAATTGATATGGCCACTTAATATTCTTCCCAAATTATTTGATTGTATCAAGGTGTATTACCACCATTGATTTTCCCAAATTAGTCTTTGTTATATTTGCACTTTTCAAAAAATTGTGCAGAATTTGTCTTTGTTTAACATAAAGAAATACTTTGCATGAGTAAAGTTTTATCCTGTCCAGTACTATAAACAAAATTTTACATAACATATATGAAAAAAAACATCACTGGAATTGAGCCAATGAAATGTTCACCCCTTTTTAGTAACCATGTGACCTCAAGTTTCCAAAATAATTTATAGAAAAACAAATAAAAAAATAATGGTGCTTTGAAATACCAAAAGATATATGTTTACGACTCAGAAATTTGTTACTGCAATGAAATATAGGAATAATTTCCTACAACTGTCGAATTCAAGGGAAATTTTTTTTCCAACCTATTTCGTATTCAACCAGATGTGACTTACTATGTCAAAATTGCTGGTATTACAGTACTTCGAGTGTCATGCAGCAAATAGCCACACCATCAAAGAATTACTATTTCTTAAGAAAAAGAAATATTTTGGAGAGACAATGCAGTCTCATATGGTTTACAACTAAACCTGAAAATAAATCACATATGGCGAAGTATCATTCCAAACAAAGACAGATGTACAGTAACTGTTGTCCCGGACATGGACGTTACTTCTCTACATTCCAGCAAAAAGGGAAAACAATTATTTACCATCAATGTATATATAAATTTTATCAAATAGATTTATGTTTGAAGAAAAATTCAGAATATCGAAAGACGCTTTTAAATTAATTTTCATGCTCAGCAGTAAGCTCAAATCTGAAACCTTGTATAAGATAAAGCTGGGGTTATAATAAAATGAATAGCATTTAAGGAGGTTCGAGGGAACAAAAAATTTCAGAAAAATTTAAAAAAAAAAAAATCTTTAAAAATTTTATTTATTATACTATTAATAATTGTTACTTAATGATATGGTACAAAAATCAACCAAAAATATAGATTCGTTTTGGCCCCAGATGACTTTTAAAATGTTTATACTATTGAAAAAGCTCCAAATTATCTCCCTTTAGTGCAAAAATGTCATCGGTGACCTATATTTTTTATTATTATTTTCAAATAAGCTGTACTTAAACTAAAAAATTGTAAAATTTAGGCATTTTCTGTAATTTAGTTCTTTTTTTATTTCGATATAACCATATTTAATCCTATTAGTTCAACAGAAAAAAAGTACCTTTACAAAAATGCATGCTTCTTTCGAAGGGAGATTGTGAGATTAAATGAACGGTGACCCCATTTTTTATGCCCCATTTATGGGCATTATGTTTTCTGGTCTGTGCGTATGTTTGTTTGTTCTTCCGTCCGTTCGTCCGTCCGTCTGTCCCGCTTCAGGTTAAAGTTTTTGGTCGAGGTAGTTTTTGATGAAGTTGAAGTCCAATCAACTTGAAACTTAGTACACATGTTCCCTATGATATGATCTTTCTAATTTTAATGCCTAATTAGAGATTTTCCCCCATTTTCACGGTCCACTGAACATAGAAAATGATAGTGCGGATGGGTCATCCGTGTACTGGGGACACATTCTTGTTTATTTTATTTTCTATTAAGTATATGATAAAGTTCATTTATAGAAAAAAATAGCAAAATCCTATATTTAAAAAGAAATCGATTTATGCCTGCGAGCCCCCTTAAGCATTTATTTACATTAAAAAAAAATGTAGCAATACATTTTTTTCCGTAGACATAAACTTTTGCTATTATTTTGCAATTGAACATATTTCAGACTTAATTTTGGTTTGTTTTAAACAATATTTTGACTGTTGATATATCTATAAAGATTTGTTTTTGCGATCTACAGATGTACTTGACTCTTTTGCTTTAAAACGACATTAAAATTTAGGTAATGAATGATTTCAGACTCTATTGATTTATAATACAAATGACTCTCCTGTTTATCATGTGAAGAAATTCTGGACCTTATCTACTGATATTTTTAAATATCAAACATATTTTTCATTGTTAAAACATCTTTTTACTTATGTAGTCTGTGCACATTCACAATTTCTTATAAGAGAATATTGCTTCTCCACAAAAAAAGAGTATTGCTTCTCCACAAAAAAAGAATATTGCTTCTCTAACAAAAGAAACTATTTTTGGATTCTCACTTTCCATAGACTGAATATAAAGAAAAAGATGACTAGAGATCACAATAACTAAGTTTGCTAGAATCCATCCACTCAGCCATGAATTATTTTTATGTCATTTTTTGGCAGGATTTCTTACTGAAGTATAGTCCATACTGAGACAATAAGGATGCACATTTTTGTGATGGTCACACTGGAGACATCAATGGATTGCAGGACAAATTTAGATGTTTTAGAGTTGTATGTCACTACAGTTTGATCTACTGATAATGCTTGTTAATATATCTGTGATTGATTCGTCAGCAGAATTTGTTAAAAAATAATGTAGTTTTTAATGATATTTGTTTTGACTAAATCATTTTGAAGAATATTGTTACATACTTAATGTGATAGCTGTTTGCGGTAATATAGAAAGAAGGTAATAATTACATTTTTGACTGTTATCTTTTATATATTTCAACCTTTTTATATATAATAATGATTTAATAAAATAATACAAACTTCTAGTATGTATTTTTGTTCATATAATTTAATTTGTATTGTATATATATATGTTGTTTGTGCTGTATTTAGACCCTTCTACAACGAAATTTGTTTTACATGCACACATATAAAAATTGCGGTTTTTATCCAACGCAATCATAGGTTTGAACGTAGTTTTCAATTTAGGCTTGTTTATAATTTTCGTTTTGGCCTTGTATCATATTTTCCCTCCAGTTTATATGATCCGTTCATCCTATTTTGACTCTAAATTCAAGAGTCTATCCTAAATTGAAGTAAATTATATGGCCTTCCAAATACCATTTCGATCCCTAACATCACTGAAGAGACATTTATTGTCGAAATCAGGATCTGGTGTACAAAATATTTTGCAGCTCATGTTTGTGGTATAATTTGGAGTTTAGTGTGACGTCCATTATCACTAAACTAGTATACATATTTGTTTAGGGGCCAGCTGAAGGACGCCTCCGGGTGCGGGAGTTTCTCGCTGCATTGAAGACCCATTGGTGGCCTTCGGCTGTTGTCTGCTCTATGGTCGGGTTGTTGTCTCTATGACACATTCCTCATTTCCATTCTCAATTTTATAACACCTTTGCCCCAAGGTTATTGTTTTCTGTTTAGTATTAAATTTTGTTACATCTTGTCTAAAGTCTAAATTGAAAACAATGTTCAAACCTATGATTGCGTTAGATTAAAACCGCAATTTTTATACCTGTACATGTAACAAATTTCGTTGTAGAAGGGTCTAAATACAGCACAAACAACTTTTCCAAAAGACCAAAAGAGTGAAAAAATATATTTTAACTAAATGCATTTGACTAGCAGGTCGAACAACTGATGTTCTTAAACCCTGCTGACTGCCATTGATGATTGCCAAATAAATTGATCACAAGGTGTAACAAAATGGATCTCTATATTAATTTAATACCAAGTAGAAAACAATAATCTTGCGGCAAAGATGGTAAACCACAACATGAGCTCATGTGCTAAATTTTTTACACCATATCCAAATTTGACAATTAATGTCTCTACAGTGATGTTAGGGATTGAAACAGTATTTAAAATATAATTTACCTCAATTTAGGATAGAACGGTTTATATAATCCGTTCATCATATTTTGACTCTTTAAAATTCAAGAGTCTATCCTAAATTGAATGGCCTTCCAAATACTTTTCGACCTAAAAAGTGTAACATACAACACCAAAAATAAAAAAAAGAAAAAAGTTAATCAATAAATGATTTGGATAGCATATATATCCTTCATCAATTGGATTTAAAATTAATTCATATTAAACTATGCTTATTTTCATAATAATCTTGAGCTTTATAAAAAAAAGATCAAGAACACTTGTATTATTCTGAACATATTCTGGTGTTGGACACTTTTTGACATATATTAAATCTATTTATTGTGTACATTATCATTATTTTACTACAATCTGACAATTAACTAAATAAGATAGAATAGTTGACTGCTATCTTAACATTTTATATATTATATATTACAATATTAGCAAAAGTCTAAAGATTTATCTTTAAACTTTAATATTTTTTTTATTCAATATACAGGTCTTACTTATGAGCAACAAGAAGAATAATTTAGAAACAAGAAAACTAATTTACAGACAAGAAAATAGATTAAATTTAGCGTCAAATTATCTAAATAAGAATTATTTGAAATAACATGAATGAAAGTTGCACTTTGTAAATACGGCTCTTTTACAATAGATATAAGAAGATGTGGTATGAGTGCCAATGAGACAACTCTCCATCCAAGTCAAAATTTATAAAAGTAAACCATTATAGGTCACAGTACGGTCTTCAACACGGAGCCTTGGCTCACACCGAACAGTAAGCTATAAAAGGCCCCAAAAATTACTAGTGTAAAACCATTCAAATGGGAAAACCAACGGTCTAATCTATATAAAAAACGAGAAACGAGAAACACTTATGAACGACATCAACAAACGACAACTACTGAACATCAGATTCCTGACTTAGGACAGGTGCAAACAAATGCAGCGGGTTTAAACGTTTTAATGGTACCAAACCATCACCCTTTTTCTGAAACAATAGTGTAACATCACAACATAGAAAGACAAGCCTACAAGCCTATTTATGCTACTCATCACATAGCAGGATTACTATGCAATTTTCACCTCAATAAGTCATGTAACACTCCTGTTTCCTATTTTCCCCTGTCATATGAAATGCTGTGTTTTGCACAATGAATTTAATTGCATTTTCTTAAGTTTTTTAAATAAGAATATAGATTTGTATCAATAGTTGTGTCTATGTGTTGAACTTTTGAGGTGCTTTTATTCTTGTTAAAAGTTTTCTGAAAAGACTAATTTTAAACCATATTGGAAGACATCCGAAAAATTCCAGAAAATTATTGGTAGTGCTAATTCTATTAAATAAGACAGAGTAAAGTTGCGTAGGTCGTTTTATTAAGCCTTTACATGTACAAGAAGAAAACCTTTCGATGTATTTGAATTAGGGAAAAAAACAATATGTGTAATGCTGAATCAACTTTCGTTAAAACACGCTCCATTGCATTACCATGACTGGTAAAAATGTCTATTCTGGAGACAAAAGTCATACAACAAGCTACAACAAGCTAAGCAATTAAGGCATGTCGAGTCATTTGAGCGTACTGATATTGTTTTAAGTGACACAAATTATCCGGCAGGCCATCCTGTGGTGAAATTACTCCTCAGAAATAATTTCAAGGACAAGCTGCTTCAACATTCAGCATGCATTGTTAACTACTTGATGAAATTAAAAAAAAATGCTTCTGATGCTTTAAGATTAGGGGACGACCATTTGATATTCTGGGGGGGGCCAGGAGGATTTGTTTTTGATCGGTTATTTATTTTTGTAAACTAAGAGGACAGATTATCTATTTTCTGCACTGCTGAAGCAAGATTTTTCATTTTCATTAAAGCAAGGGACTGATTATTTATTTTAACAACTATATTTATAATATTTGAAAACATACAATTTTTAAATTTATTTTTTATTATAAATAATACATATAGTCCAATCATTATGTACCATTTAATCAGAATTAATCATCATCATCTGTAGAAATGAATCTTCTGAATTCCCAACTGCATATACATGTATTGCATACATACAATATATCAAAGTTTGGCTGTAATTAGTGTCTTTTAAAAGTATTGCAAATCATTTATGCCGAGCGGAGCGAGGCTAAAAAAATTTGAAGGGTTTTGGAGCCGCTGAAGGCCCCAAGTTGCTATAGAACTAATGATGCAAAATGTGTTTCCCATACCCTTTCTTAATCTGAAAATGAAAGTTCTGTTTTAATCATTTTTTGACAATATTTTGGTCTCAAAGCAACATGTATAGATTCAGTGTAAGACTTAAGTTTTTAGGAACAACATCAAAAGACAAAGATAAAGCAAAAATTTAATTCACATAGTTAAGTATGTGGCTGCTGTTTTTTTTTAAACTCTTGATCAAGTTAATAACAAAATTACTAAATTACAAAAGGAATGCAACACTAACAGAATACAGAAGGGCAATCAATGAACAAAAGACAAATAAATAAGAAACATTGATCCCAAAAAAACAGGAGCTACGTCTGAGGGAGAACAGAACTTGCTTCTTGCAAGACACTTAATGTGAAAACAATTTGATATGAAGACAAGCTTTTGGTTTTGAAATTTCCTACATGAGGCATTTGCCTGAATGTAGTTACTGCCATATGTAATAAAAGTGAGTTAAGTGTTCCTGAGACAATATACCTCAAGTTAAATGAAACCCATTTTTCAGAAATTTCAAGTATTTTAAATAATTATTTATACTTTTATTATTCAAAGATTTGGGAAGTGATTCCCGATTTTTTTTGAAAAAAAAGTTGAATTTTATAAAGAATCTGGTGCAATCTCATGCTCTCAAATAGACCTGCTGAGTTATTTATTTTTAATACATTGCAAGTCAGGTTATTTATTTTCAAACTACCACAGAACAAACCATTTATTTTTGTGATTATCAAGGCTGAGTTATTTATTTTCAAAATCCTCCTGGCCCCCCCCCCCCCCCCCCCCCAGAATATCAAATGGTCGTCCCCTAAAAGGATATCTTATGTATGTAATCCGAACTTTATCACCGATTTTGAAACGGAAAGGTTTTCGTACATTCTTTGTCTTAGGTTGTAATCTTTTTGGCCAATACATTTTCCACCACAGGTTTGTCTCTTTAGATAGGGTGACTTTATCTGGTGCCATGCCAATCGTTCTATGGAAGGTCTTGTTGTAGCTGTTAGCAAAATTCTGTTAGTTATCCACATAGTCATATGACTGCTTACTGGTGATAAATCTCATAATTTTTGATTTGATAGTCTTGATCACTCTTTCAACGTAATTAGCTTTGATTTCCGTATTTTGTGCAAATAGATGTTGAATATTTCTCTGTTTAAGGAGAGATTCTACTAATCGTGATCTGAATTCTTGTCCATTATCTGTTCTTATTCTGTTTGGAGATCTTCCTTGTGATAAAACATGTTTCAAAACATTCGCCACGGATTCACCTTTCTTATTCTTTAAAGGTCTTAGCCATACATATTTGGAAAATATGTCAATCACCACCAATATGAAATTAAATCCACTGTTAAATTTCGAAAATTTAGACATGTCCATTAAATAGACATCCCATTGGTCGTCTATTCCAATAACGATAACTCTGTTCCGCTTAAACGACCTTTTTAAGGGTCTTTGTAAACTGTATGGTTCCTGTCGTTGTAGCCATTTTCGTATTCTATATTTACTGAGAACGAATTTTCCATGATCTGATCGAACAAATCTGTAAAGTTTATCAGGCCCTGCAAAACTCGCTGGGTTAGCTGGATTGTAATAATTTTTTTTCTTTCGAGAAAAGATGTTATGTTGCGACACCAAAGAAACAAACACAGAATTAGTCAACCATATCCGCAGAGCAATGATGCATATCCACCGCCGCCGCCACCACCGCCTCCGCCACCTGAGAGGATTATATGGTGTTATAAACGGTGGCAGCCATTATTTAGTGAACTGCAACAAACCATTAAAAACATTTTATTTGTTCAAGGTTTACCTGAAAATTTGAATGATGGCTCATTCATTGACTCTAGATATCCAAGTTTAATCATCCTAGACGATTTAATGAGAGACGTCACCAATAGTAAGGATGTTTGTGAACTCTTTGTGGAGGGCAGCCATCACAGAAACCTAAGTGTAGCTTGTATACTGCAAAATGCGTTCTCGAAGGGAAAGGAGAGTCGAACCATGAGCATCAATAGCCAGTATATAGTCCTATTCAAAAACCCACGTGATCAAGTTGGGCCAGCCATATTTGCTAGACAGATGTATCCTAATAATCCAAAGAAATTCATAAATAAGTACAAAGAGGGGACACAACGACCATATGGGAGTCTATTCATTGATTTGAAACAGAATACACCGGAAGACGACAGACTAAAACTTAATATATTTGTAAACAAGAACATGATTGGTGGAGGTGTTTCTGAAGAGTATATTAGCAGAAAAGAACTAGAACCACCTCAGTTTGAAGATTCATTTCAAAGTGAGCAGACGTATTTACCAGACGAGAAAGAAATCATGCCTTCATGTGATGATTGCGGTGTAGTCTTTGAAAGCGTTCCTGATTTAGCAAGACATATGAATAAGTGGTGCCCGGAAAATAATGATTTAAAAAGAAAAAGGGAAAAAGAGGATGAAGACATTCCCATAAAGAAGTCTCGTGTAGACGAAATTGATTACAAAACTAATTAACGATGACATGGACTACGAGAAAGCCATTAAATTAGCCGTCAGGAAATATAAACCTTTGTTGGAAATCTATCTAGATGAAGCTATTGATAACGAAACAAATGATGATGGTTCTGAAAGCGAAGATAGCATTGATGATGATGGAGAGGAAGAGGGGGGAGAGGAGGATGTAGACGATGAGAGCTCAACTATATAAATATGAGAACGTTTTACTCTGTATATCATTCTATAGTCATCATCCCATGTGTAAAGATGGCCTCTTGGGAAAAGTACTTGAGAAATATTTATTACAATCCAGCTAACCCAGCGAGTTTTGCAGGGCCTGATAAACTTTACAGATTTGTTCGATCAGATGGAAAATACGTTCTCAGTAAATATAGAATACGAAAATGGCTACAACGACAGGAACCATACAGTTTACAAAGACCCTTAAAAAGGTCGTTCAAGCGGAACAGAGTTATCGTTATTGGAATAGACGACCAATGGGATGTCGATTTAATGGACATGTCTAAATTTTCGAAATTTAACAGTGGATTTAATTTCATATTGGTGGTGATTGACATATTTTCCAAATATGTATGGCTAAGACCTTTAAAGAATAAGAAAGGTGAATCCGTGGCGAATGCTTTGAAACATGTTTTATCACAAGGAAGATCTCCAAACAGAATAAGAACAGATAAAGGACAAGAATTCAGATCACGATTAGTAGAATCTCTCCTTAAACAGAGAAATATTCAACATCTATTTGCACAAAATACGGAAATCAAAGCTAATTACGTTGAAAGAGTGATCAAGACTATTAAATCAAAAATTATGAGATTTATCACCAGTAAGCAGTCATATGACTATGTGGATAACTTACAGAATTTTGCTAACAGCTACAACAAGACCTTCCATAGAACGATTGGCATGGCACCAGATAAAGTCACCCTATCTAAAGAGACAAACCTGTGGTGGAAAATGTATTGGCCAAAAAGATTACAACCTAAGACAAAGAATGTACGAAAACCTTTCCGTTTCAAAATCGGTGATAAAGTTCGGATTACATACATAAGAAATCCTTTTACCAGGGAATACGATGAGAAATGGAGCGGAGAGATATTTAGAATATCTCAAAGAATATTACGTGGTGGGCTTCCAGTTTATCGACTTATTGATTTTCAAGACGAAGAAATTTCAGGAACCTTCTACCAATCAGAAGTGCAGAAAGTGGATGTTCGGGAAGATGATATATGGAAAGTTGAAAACATCCTCAAAACAAAAGGCAAAGGACCCAAGTCTCGACAGTTTACACCCCTGCACGAAATATAGCATACTGTTGGCCCTTTCGTGAGGTTAGAGATACTGTTGAGTGATATGCAACTCTCTATTTCTTTTTATCTCGATGTATAAAATAATTATAGATAATTTTATTCTTTATATATATTGTAAAGACAACATATGTGGATGGCTCCGCGACCCATGTCTGTCTGAATTGACGGGGATATTAAATATTGTACAAATTATTGTTGTTATCATTACTAGTGTGGTACCGAGAAGCAGAAACTTAAAAAAAAATAAAAAAGGAATACAATCACACAAAAGGAGAATCATATTGGATAATTCCTTGCTCATATTTGTATGGATTAAACCTTGAATCGATACACACAAACACACACACACACACAAACATACACAAACACTAACAATGATAAACACCGGTGCATCGTTTATCAATAAAACCTATTGAAAGTTAATACACGCTATCGATGTTGATTGAACAATTATATTATAAAATTCGAGATTAAATACCTTTCAAAATTTCACCCAAGAAATAGTTAGATGTAAAATACTATTTTGTTCCATTAATGTAACGATTTACTTATATTAAAAAGACACGTCTAAACATGTTAAAGGTCACTATACGTACAATAACGACAAGTTAAAACACGCTTTCAATATTGATTTAACGATTATATTATTTATATAATAACGTGTACGTCTTATTCTTCACAGCCGTAGGTGAATAGATATATAAACAAACAAATACATATTTGATACACACTTAGATGGGTTTACCTGTATATCTATTAATAGACTGGGGATTTTCATATATCAAATTAAAATAAAAATAAAAATCATATACTTATGCATAATTAACACAAACGTAATTAGTAACATTTAATAATGACCTTATCTTCCAAAGTAATTAATTTAATTAATTAGTGTCGTAATACCTAAAAATGACGTCATAGAAATTAGCCTCACATCGGGAGGCTACCTCTCAGGAGGCTACCTTTTCCCCATAGAGTTAACCTTAGACAAAGTGGCCCAGAACCGGTAGTTTCCCCACTACTACTACTACTACTCATATGTGTATCAAATATTGTTAGCTGTTTTCCTATTTAATAATACGTCTGGAATATAGTAATTATTTTATTCTTTTATGTTTACAGTGCACATTCTAGTAATACTTTTTAAAAGTAGTAAATATCAAATTCACTCTTTACAAAGAACTGGCAAAATAACAAATTCACTACTTAGTATATAAAATGCTGGTGCAGGCAAAATAGTCATTTCTATTTTTCAATCAGACCCGGCAAAATAGCCCAAAATAATACGTTTTGGATTCTGTAAATATGTAGCCGGGAGTTTGTCAGTCTGTCCTAAGGCTTATGTCCGTCGTCGATTTCCGAAAAAATGGTTTCCTGGTGCTTTTGAATTTCCTTACTTGGGAGAATATACTTATTAGGATATCATTTAATCGAATTATGGAGGTCCTTGAATATATAATTATGGAGCTCCATAAATATCAAGGAAATATTTCAAGATATCCTGAAATCATGAATCATGGAGGTCCTGGCTCTATGGTTTATAGATGTCATAAATTCGAATTTTTGAGGGTTTGAAATATTTCAGGCGCTCCTTACATGCCGAAAATGAAAAAGAAATGACTAATTATATGCCTCAGTCATACATGTAGTTTTATGATCTCCCAAAAAACATCCCTTTAGTGGCAAGTTTTTGGTGCATGATTGAAAATGAATTGTCTATCAAAAGTCAAATAAGTCGAGCATATGCTACACTGTGAAATGAAAATGAAAAATAAAAGAAAAGATTGGTACGGAAAAGAAAAGAAAAATAAGTGGTCATAAGCCTTAAAATCCATCGTTTTGTAAACCCCAAGATTTATTTTTCTTTCTTGTAATCCGTTAAACAGTTAATAATGTAAGTAACATCGTTTATATATTTCTTGAAATAGGCCGAATTTGTTATAGCCCGAGTTCATTATTGTCTGATAATGTTGTAGGCCGAGTTAGTTATGGGCCGAATTAATATGGAGTCGAAAAGTACCGATATTGTCCTGTACGACGTAGACTGGGTTCCTGTTTTTATTATGGTTGTCTCGCATACTCGTATTTAGCAAGAGTTAGAACCAGCCTACGATACGACAATATTAGCGTGCTTTGAAAGCTTAAATTTGCTCCCCATATACACCACAAACAGAGTAATATAAATCCAAGGTAAGTTTCACAAATTAAAATATCAAAATTAGATATATGAGAAACTCTGCTATTATCAAGTTGGGAACAAACCGTCCATCACCATGATCACTGGCATCAAAGACATAAGGTTCATGTGGACCCATTGGCTAAAATGGCCGCATTTTCACCTCAAAATTTACTCTATGTACAGACAAACCTGCGCATCTGGAAAAATTTTAAGGCATAGCATGCCCTAGATAAATAAACTTCAAATGCATTGTATGTTTTAGAAAATTTAAAACTTGACTGGATTTTGCAGTGCACTTTTTTTCGTCCCTGCAGAAGATGATAAAATAAACAAACAGTCGAGTTTCACTTGATATGGTCCACTCAGGTACACAGTTTAAATCACCAATTAGTGTCAGGTATCTATTGTCCATCTATTGTCCATGTCAATCAATACAGTTCACTTCAATTATTACCTGTGGGGAAGTTCTCAAACCTCTTTCCCAACTTAGTTTATTTTGGCACCTTCTCGGCTTCTGGAGGAATGAAAAAAAGTGCACTGCAAAATCCCGTTAAGTTTTTAATTTTCTAAAACATAAAATATATTTGAATTTTATTTATCTAGGGCATGCTATGCCTTAAAATTTTTTTAGATGCACAGGTTTGTCTGTACTCAGAGTAAATTTTGAGGTAAAAATGCAGCCATTTTAGACGAAGGGTCCACATGAACCTTAAGATTAAGGTTCATCATAACAAATGGACAAATATGGCCGTATTTTCACCTCAAAAACTACTCTGTGTACAGGCTTACCTGTGCAGTTTGGAAAGTTTTAAGGCCTGGCATCCACTAGATGTATAAAAGTTAAATTTATTTTGCATATCAGAAATATAAAATCTTTTTTGGATTATGATACTTTCCAAACTGCACAGGTAAGTCAGTACACAGAGTATTTTTTGAGGTGAAAATACGGCCATATTTGTCCATTTGTTATGATGAACCTTAAGAACATGTATTATTTGTATACTTATTGACAATATCTAAGTACAAAGGAGAAACTACATTAGTGATTATAATTTTACAAGATTAGATTGAAGATTGAAGACTGGGTACATGGGGTATGAGTGGAATAGTAAGTTTATTGTCCCAGAGGCAGAGGTGCAAATATTGCCTTGAGTCATAGCCTAGGGCAATAGTTGTATCTGAGGGGACAATGAATTTACTATTCAACGAAATATATCCAGTTAGTTATTGTTTTATCATATCGAAAAACATACAATTGACGTATTTACATCCTACCGTAGTCTAAAATCGGTCATCTTGTTGGTTGGTTCGGTATTTGTGTTTGAACTTATCACACTGGAAAACTATGCATTGACGTCACTACGCTACTATCAGCGTACAAAATTAGTGCAGAATACGTTTTTTCTACTCTTTTGAATAAAAAAACATTTCTGAAGATATGTTTTCATTGTTATTCTAAATTATTGCTCAAAAATGGCAAATTTCTAATGGCCGTTTCAAACCAGACTTATGAATGCCTAAAAACATTTCAGAACTTCACAAAATCCCACTTCCGGCCTCCATTGCTTTATGTACATTCCATTCAGCGTCATCAATCTTGTGGCAGACAAAACAGGTCAAGCAAATCATCATGATCATATATTTATGAATTTCAAATGACAAGCACCTTACGTCTTACGTGATTTTCCCATGAGAAAACCCCATCCAAAATGAAAGGAAAACTATATGAAAAAATGATGTTCATGCCATAATTTTGTTCAGGAATATAGATTAGGTTAATAAAAAACGATTTACATTTATTTTTCATAGAAAAAAACAATTGATTCAATATAAAAAGATCAATATTCTGACCATCATGACGGTAGGTAAATATTCATACAAAATTCCATTGATGTCGAATGTCATGGCTAAAAATTAGGTTTCCTGTTGAATAAACCTCCAAATTATTGCAAACTATTTCAAAGCAATACCACACAAACAAATAACATAATTGCCTTAGACTGAAAAAATCACCTACATTTTTTGTAATTGACAATAGACATGATAGAGCAATTTGATTGGGTAGAACGTTTCAATACATCACGTGGTTTTGACGCCATTGTAATTTGGATGTAAACAAACAGGGTCTGAAGCTTTAGTATGGAACATCATCGTACATTGAGTGACGGAGAAATAGTTATGAGTAACCAAGCTTGACAATACACGGTAATAAAAAATCAAAGCTAAGTCTACAGAAAAAATATGAAAAAATAGTACATAGGTGAACAACTTACCAACATAGCGGGACACTTGAATGCCAATTTGTCCGCCATTACATAAAATCACACAGTATCCCGTAAACTTTGACATCACAATTCAAAACATTTGAGGTCACAGTTTAAAAGTGATTGTTGATTGACATCAGAAAGTTATTCGGAGCAGATCTAATGTCATTTCGGAGACAAAATTCAGCTAAATACCAAAAGTGTAAATACGTTTATAAATGGCGGAGATAAATCAACTATTGTTAAATAAAAAGCAGAAATCCAACCACACTGTTAAACATTTACTTCATAAATATTCTGAAATGCTAAGGCTACATGTACGTCCTGCACTGATTAGTCGTCAACCCTGGCCCTGGTACAATTGAATAGGTAAAACGCGATGTCTTAACTCCTCCTGTATTTTTAAAATCATCCAGTCCCGGAGATGAATTTGAAATTCAACTTAATATAATGATGCTTGCGGTCAAATAGTTTCATTGAGGTCCAATAGTTGGAAACTATTAACCAACTCAAATAAATCAAGGCTTGCAATTTGAAAAATAGTCAAAATATTGAAATTTGTACTTATTTTATATAGAAAATAAGGGTTTCCCCTAGGTCATTTTTCTTTTTCACCACCTCTTTCCCCAAAACAAAATATTTTTTGCCAACTAAGGCCTAAAATAAAATATTGTTTGTTTCCCCAATCCCGACCGACCCTGCAAAAATGGTCTGACTCGCAAAATTTTATTGTCAAAAGTAAGTCAAATATTATTTTATTCATTTCTGATTTTCAGGCTTACTGGATCAACCAATATTGTTCCAGCTTTTTGGAAAAATAAAATTATTTCCCTACCTACCTACCCACACCTGGCTTGGCAGGGTCGGGATTGGGGAAACAAACGGTATATTAATTTAGGCCTAACAACTACATGTGAATGTACATTGTAACATAAACATATTTTGCTTTAAAGAATTCCTTCTTTTTAACAGGGCCCACCAAAATATAAAATCAATGGCCCATTTTAGAATTAATCAATGGCTTGTTATCAATTTCATTGATCTGTAATTATTAATGTATTAACCAACAGTGATGGATCCAGAACTTTTTATAATGGGGGGGGAGGGCACTGTCTGACCTATGCTCCAGTGATTCCTTATATAATCAACCAAATTTTCCCCTCTGGATCTACCTATGCCCTTTTAAGATTGAAAAGTACATGCAAATATATTTTGATGGTCACATAAACAGATACAATGTTATTATAAAGGCAAGCTGAAGCAAACATTTATTATACATATTTCTAAAAATAGATTTGGAGTAAAATTTGAAATCAAAACAGAGATTTCTTTGATCTTACCAAATACATGTACAGTACAACCTGTGACTTCCTCTTAGTTATGTCCACCCTCTTGTATGGTCACCATCGAATGGTGGCCATTTATTGGGGTCATAAAACATAGGTTGATGTTTTATCTAATTATGTTACCTGTTGAAATCAATCAGGGTTGAAGTTTTCAGCTTGTAAGTTTCATTAAAATTTACTTGTACAGGTAACTCAGATTTCTTCTCAAACTGACATTTCACCTTTTCTCGAAAATGTAGAATAGAATGTTTGTTTTAGTCTTTGTTAATTCATATCATTTGTTGATTTTTCTGTCTTTAAATTTACATATTTTCCTTTTTTTCTAATGTTTTTATTTTTTTATGTTATTATTATTTTTTATTTGTTTTTTTGCTTCTTATTCTTTTAATTTCTTCTTGGAAAGAATCTTGAGTAGAAATAACAAAAATTCAAATATAAGTTATTGACTGGCATTTGAAAACAAAAGAGAGAATCCTTTAAATAATTATTTTTTTAGTAAAAAAAAAGTTATTGTACATGATGTACATGGTATTCTATTGTTCGTTTGCATTTTTAAATGAATTATTATTAATTATAACTTATAATCATGCAAATGATATGTTTAAAGGAACCATGAAGCAAGTAATTTAACAAGCCAGTTTATTCACAAATTTAAATTATCAATATCATGAATATCAATCCTTTTACAATAAATTTTGTTAACAAAGTTGTACAATCTATTATCATGATTATTATTCAGGAAAACTACAAATATCATTATATGGTATAGGAATAAACTATTTTTGTTTATCTTTGATATTTTTCAAATCTCAAAACAAGTTTTGCATGAAGAATCACTAAAGAGACTTACAAAGAAATTATTTAAAGAAAAAATTGTCTTGCTTTTTGAAACAATTGTAAACTTATGTCAAATATGTTATCTTCAGTTTGGCTAATTTTGTCGTTTAACAGGCAAAATTTGTCTCCAGAAAAAATAAAGTACACTTCTATATAGATTGTGACATTTTTATGGTCTATTAATTAAATCACTTTTTGTTCTGTGTATTATATTGTTGAAACTGCAGGACTGGCATATGCATGATACATATTCTTGGTATACATTTGCAAAGAATATTTCACTCAACTCAGGCCTTTTAGATAAAGTTAATAATTGCAGGGACTTGAATGAATTAGATTCTTCAAAGCCCTTGATTAAAAATGAATTTTAAGAAAAAAATAAGAATATTTTTGAAAATAAATAAGAATAATTTTGAAAATAAAATAAAAACTTATGATGAAAACAGTAAACTCAAATGCTTCACTAAGTTAAGAATTAGTGGTCAGTATTTAGAAATAGAAAATGGTGAATAAAAATTCCTATAAAGGATAGAATTGTTTGTAAAATTAACATAACAACTTAGAGATAATCTATTTGAAAATTGTTTACCTTCTCATAATAATGTCTCTGACCAGTTTATGAATAAAATCTTGAATCTTATGAATATAATCTTAACCAAGAACAAAAAGTAAAAGAAATGCTAAACCTCTATAACCTGGAACATGTTTAAAATATTGGCTCCTTTATAAAAGAAAGTCATTAGAACTGAGGGCAGATACCTAATAACTTTTTTCCATGTGTTTTGACTTCTTATAGAATTGTTATTTCTTTGCATTATAATGTTTTTTTGGGGTTTTTTTTTGTCAGAAACTTGATTAAATTGTAATATGTTTATATGACAATAAAAAAATTATCAAATTTTTCTGTAATGAATATTTTGAATATACATGTATTTATTCAATAGAGAAATACTGAATTGCATAAATTTTATTTAGAATAAGTCGGAAAGATAATCTTAAACATTTGTTAAACAATGTTAAATGCAGTAAGTTTTAACAATTTTGATTTTAGAAAATTAATTTGAGAAACACCTTTTCAATGAAAAAAGGCAGGCATTGTGAAAGTTTGCATTATATTAGAACTTCTTTAGAAGATGATATTCATTTATTATTCACTTGCCAAAAAATACATGTAAAAATAACTTAAATTGATAGAATTATTTAAAAGTTATAACATCAAAACAAACATTTGCAAAGTCATGAGAAAATTTTTACAAAAAAAAAGTTAGGAAGCTGTATGTTCAACTAGTTTTATTATTTCATTTTAATTTAGAATTTTCTTGTCATAATCACAGTTAATATTAAATTTGACAAACACAAAAAGTCATATATTTTCCCTGACACACTTTACCTGTAAGTTATGTAATTTTAACACTTCAATGCAGTCATGATTTCTCTTTATCCTTGACTAGCTTTTGATTAATACCTTGTGTATTAATTAAGCAGCAGGGAGTATAATGATGGACATTTAGGGCCATCATGGTGACCATATTTTTTATGGCCACCATTAATAAGATAATGTCACAGGTAGTACTGTAGAAACAAGTAATAGCTTTGAAAAAAAGCTAGCCATCTCTTAGCTGATGAAAGTGGAAAGTGTTCTTGCTTTGTAGACTAATTCATTAAGAATAGCCTTGCATATCAATCAACAAATTTTACCACACACGATATGAAGCAGTATATCGTTTAATGTTGTGTGTGAATACAAATAAGGTCCTTATCGTACTAATCCTTAAAATCATGCTTGTAAATGCTTTACATATTTGTCAAACAATTTATTCTCTCATCATGAAATATCATAACCATGATTTCCTTCAAGTTTTCCTATGTTTTTCGTGTATAAAATGTATAAACAGTAAGCGACTGGATTGCATGTGAAACAATCGTGTGTGTTTACAAAACTCCAGGAGAATCGGCTATCTATAGATAAAAGTTACCTGTGTACCAATATTCATGATTGGTGACAAGGCAAAATCTAATTGTTAAAATAGAGAGTACAAATCCGATACTCTACAGGATTGAAAGACATTTACTAGGTTCGGATTGTCCCTACCAATCAACGAACTTTAATTATTCACGTCTCAGTAATATATTCCAATCAGGTAGTAGGAAGCATTCAGCCCGCAGACTGTCCATCGTTCAATTCTAAATAACGTCTCCGAGGGGACGTTAATAACACTTCTGCATGATGCCTTATTGAATATTATTCGTATTTAAATAACTATTATTGAATGACGAAAGCATTGAGGTACTACAGGATCACGGTGACGGTTCAATACTAAGGCCATTGTTGTTTAACTATTTATAAATCATTATGATATTTTCTTTTTGTTGAAAATTTTATATAATTATCTAAAGATGACAATAAGTTTGTCTTTCTGTACTCCAGATTTTGATTTATTAATATTAACTTTGGAATTTGAGTAATAATTCCTATTGAGTGGTTCCGGGTGAATAAAATGCAAGCAAATCCATGCTGTGAAGCTACTGGATATTTTGTTAATTGCAATTTCGGAGTTTTGTTCTTACATGTACACATGTACTTGTTTGATTAAAAAGGTGTCAACAGTATATGTGGCAGTATGATGTCATATTTCCAGTTCAATAAAATAATTTTGTAGGGACATAAAAATAATATAACTGAAAAGACAAATAAGTGGAAGATTTTTATTATTAAATGAATTTATTCTTACTTTTCTTTTTATATTTTTTAGCACATCATTTATATTTCTTGCTTTATAACATTTCAAAAATTAATTATTTAATTTAAAGTTAAGTACTGATAATTAATTTCAAAAATTAAGATAACATTTAACATCATACATTGTACTTATCATCGAGTCAGAGTTTGCTATAGTTTGATTTTTGGTATAGTTTGTTATGGGCCGAGATCAGGGAGTCATTTTGTAGTGGTACCAACCTGTAGGATTCTAATTGATATGATGGATATTGTTCCTGTGCTTTTGTAATTTCAATTTCAATGAGTAAAATGAAGTTAATTATGTTCCTGGATATTTATGTGACCATCAAGATACAAAAGAATATATATATGTCTGTGATTTTAAATAATAAAAGATAAAAGTAATAACTGAGTTACTAGAACTTTGACAATGGCAAACTAAAAGTAGCTGACCTAGATTTTGTTGCACAAAATTAGAGAAAGATGAAATGAATCTTGATAAGAAAACTAGAGTAGACCAATTAAATTCCAAGTTCAATAGTTGAAATGATTTTTGGCAAGTACAATGCTACCATCATACAGTAACCAGGGCCATAACTTCTTCCAAACGGGGCAATATTTACGAGAACCTTTATTTACAATGTACATGTACATGTATATACTGGTACTGTTGTCTTGTTCATGGCAAAAATTCTGCAGTCATAAACATGTATTTAATAGTATCATGTTGTCGTCAGCATTATCCGAAGACAGTTGGTTTCTGTTTTCCGGCCTATAAGTAAACAGAAATATATGAAATTTAAACACAATGTTTGAAACCACAAAAGGAAGGTTGGGATTGATTTTGGGGATGAAAGTCTCAACAGTTTAGGGATTATTGTATCTGTACATGTACTGATGATGAAGAATTGTATCTGTACATGTACTGATGATGTAGTATTGTATCTGTACATGTACTGATGATGTAGTATTGTATCTGTACATGTACTGATGATGTAGTATTGTATCTGTTCAAATGTACATGTACTGATAACAAGGAATTATTTGAATCTGGAATAATTTTGAATTCTGGAAAATTGATCAGAAATTTATGATGAAAACTAACCCAACTAAATAGGGTTAGCCATGCACGCATGGCTAAGGGGTGTTAGTTAGTTCATACTGAAATGATAGTGAAAGTAAAATTAACCTTAGCCATGCGTGCATGGCTAACCCCATTTAGTTGGGTTAGTTTTCATCATACATTTCTAATCAGTTTTCCAGAATTCAAAATTATTCCAGATTCAATTAATTCCTTGTTTGATGATGTTATATTGTATATGTACATGATGTACTGATGATGTAGTTATATCTGTACGTGTACTGATGATGTTGTATTGTATCTGTATGTGTACTGATGATGCAGTATTGTAAAATGTACATGTACTGATGATGTTGTTATATATATGTACTTGTACTGATGATGTAGTATTGTATCTGTATGTGTACTGATCATATGATGCAGTATTGTATCTGTACCTGTACTGATGATGCAGTATTGTATCTGTACCTGTACTGATGATGTAGAATTGTATCTGTACATGTACTGATGATGTAGTATTGTACCTGTACATGTACTGATGATGTAGAATTGTATCTGTACATGTACTGATGATGTAGTATTGTACCTGTACATGTTATGATGTAGTATAGTATCAGTACATGTACTGATGATGTTGTATTGTATATCTGTACATGTACTGATGATTTAGTATATAGTATCTGTACATGTTCTGATGATGTTATATTGTATCTGTACATGTACTGATGATGTAGTTACATTGTATATCTGTATGTGTACTGATGATGTAGAATTGTATCTGTATATAGGTGTTTGTCTATTTCATATAATATAACCAACATGGTAGTTGAAAATAAATGTAACATCAGTCAAACAACTATCGCTTGCTTACCACAGCCCTATCACAAAATCCTGGGGAGAGCACTGTAACAGTACGTGTTCTGATGCTTGAAGATATTGCTTTGATATTTGGTATATTGTTTTATCATTACAAGTTACAGATCAAGTTCCAATTTTGTTCCGGTCTGATGATTTTGTGAAGAGTTATGGTCCTTGGACTTAGAAAATTCTCTCGAAGTATCAGTTTTCCACACTTTTTTCTCATCATGCTTGAGGGTATTGATAATTGGTAATTGGTATATAATTTATTTTATAATGACAAATTTCAGACATAGTTCGAATTTTGTTCCGGTCTGATGATTTTGTGCAGAGTTATGGTAATTCGACTTTATAGAAAATACACTTGAATAGTCAGTTTCCACACTTTTTTTTCGTCATGCTTGAAGACATTGATTTGATATTTGTTATAAAGTTTTACAATGACTAGTTAGCATTTTGTTCCAGTACAATTAATTTTAACCTGGTAGGGGACTATGTATTGGCTTGCAATACTCTCGGAATGCTTGTTATGAATACAAATGTATATATTAATTATGATGTATTCTTTTTTCAGGAATCTTATACGCAATAGAAACTTTTCCAGGCCAACATGAAGTAAGTGACGTTAACTGTACATATTGTCAACATGGTCATGATGGTTTAAAATCGTTTTGTCTTGATTGATTTTAAGACAACAAATTATTTAATGACAATCACCTTATCACCACATTGTACCTTGTAACTTTTAGTCCATTACACCTCGGACACATGCATCAAAATGTCATCAGACACATGTCTTCACAATGCATATTTCATCAGGCAAGTGTTGTCACAATGTCATTAATGGGGAGGACAATTTTTTTATGCCACCGCCGAAGCGTAGGGGGCATTAAGGGTTACCCTTGTCTGTCCATCGGTTCGTCCTAAGGTTGTTTTTTTCGTTCTCAACTTAAGTTTGCATCAACCAATTGTTATGAAACTTAAGATTATTACCACAAAACACAGATCAAGTGTGAATTTTGGTGGCGTCACTATAACCGTTCTAGAATTATGCCCCTTTACAAATTGAAAAATTGCTGAATTTTTGTTCTGTTCTCTAACTTTAGTTTACCTCAACCAAATGTTATGAAACTCATACACAATGCTTATTACCACATAATACAGATCCGATTTGAATTTTGGTGGTGTCACTTTTACTGTTCCAGATCTAGGGATATGTCTGTTTACCATGTTTACAAATAGAAAAATTGCTTAATTTTTATATGACCGCCAAATTTTTGCGGTTGTATATTACTATCACGTTGTCGTTGTCGTCGTCATCAGCATCGTCCGAAGACACTTGGTTTCCAGACAATAACTTTAGTATAAGTTAATAGAAATCTATGAAATTTAAACACAAGGTTTATAACCACAAAAGGAAGGTTCGGATTGATTTTGGGGGTTGTGGTCTTAACAGTTTAGGAATTTGGGGCCAAATGGGGCCCAAATAAGCATTTTTCTAGTTTCCAGACATTATGTTATGGAACAGTGTATGGATCTCTCTGAAATTATACCACAAGGTTCCATACCACAAAGGGATGGTTATAATTGGCTTTGGGGGGGTTATGGCTCAAACCGTTTAGGAATTAGGGGCAAAAAAGGGGGGAAAACTAGAGTGTCCTGGTTAATGGACAATCACTTTTACTTATTTACTTAAATGTTGAGTTTGGATTACCTCACTTACACGGCTTTTAAATTATTAAATGGGTAATTATGGTTGCAATAACCATTGGAAATTTGAATTGAGATTATGACCTTATCTTGAGGGAAAGAATTGGTTTTTTTGGAAAAGGGGGGGAGTGAAAAGAAATTGTGGGGGGACAATTTTTTCTTAATATCTGAGACTACCGGGTAGTTTTACAATGGTGGACGATCAACTTTTTACACGACTGCAAAAAATTTTGCGGTCGTATATTGGTATCCCGTCGTAGTCGTGGTCATCGTCTGAAAACACTTGGTTTCCAGACAATAACTTTAGTATAAGTGAATAGAAATCTATGAAATTTATACTCAAAAGGAAGGTTCGGATTGATTTTTATACGACCGCAAAAATTAAAAAAAAATTGGTCGTATATTGGTATCACGTTGTCGTCTTTGTCGGCATCAGCGTCGTCCAAAAACAGATGGTTTCCGGATAATAACTTTAGAATAAGTAAATAGAAATCAATCAAATTTTAACACAAGGTTTATAACCACTAAGGGAAGGTTAGGATTGATTTTTGGGGTTATGGTCCTAACATTTTAGGAATTATGGGCCTAACAGAGGCCCAAAAAGGCATATTTGTAGTTTCCAGACAATAACTTGTGTTTCATTGTATGAATCTCTTTGAAATTATACCACAGGTTTCCATACCACAAAGGGATGGTTAGGATTGGCTTTGGGGGGTTATGGCTCAAAACGTTTAGGAATTAGGGGCAAAAAGGGGGGAAAACAAGGGTTTCTTGATCAGTGGACAATTAAGACAATTTTTAAGCAATGTAAGGGAGGTAATCTTAATGTAATCCAAACATAATATGTTGGATTACCTCCCTTACACTGCTTTAAAATTATGTATTAAGAAATATTGTATTTTCTTGAGGTGATTAGCTGTCAATTTACTTTAAGAAGTTACAATTAAGTTTATGCTGATTAAGGAATATCAATTTTCTATTATAAGACTTTTATGATGTATTTAAATGGGTAATTATGGTTGCATCGATCTCCAATGGAAATTTGAATTGAAATTATGACCATATCTTGAGGGAAAGAATTTATTTTTGGAAAAAAGGTGGGGAGTTGAAAAAAAAATTGGAAAGGGGGGGGGGGACAACAGCCAAACACCAATGGGTCAATGGGTCTTCAATGCAGAGAGAAACTCCCGCACCCGGAGGAGTCAATCAGCTGGCCCCTAAACAAATATGTATACTAGTTCAGTGATAATATATTTTATTATTTATATCACAAAAGCAAAAAATTTAGTATAAATTCAAATCATATAACCAATTCTAAGTTTTTTGACTACAGTTATTCTGTGTCAGAAACCTATTATGTGTCAAATATTTAATTACAATCCAAATTCAGACATTCATCAAGCGCGAATATTGTGTCCATTTTTGCCGCAACTGTTCAGGGTTGGACCTCTGCGGTCGTATCCAGCTGCGCTCAGCGAAGCAATTTATTTGAAACAGTTATGACCCTTGGAAATATGAAATAAGTGCAACACAGTAGACATTAGAACTCATTTAATTAAGTCTCCCAAACGAAGTTTGGGAAGACTTATTGTTTTTGCTCAGTTCTTATTATTATTCTTCTTCTTCTTCTTCTTCCGCCGCTTTTAAATTTGAACTTGTCCGCACCCGTTCTCCAAAACCGCTTGTCAGATTAACTTAGGGTTTCACAATATGTTAGACTAACATGTCTAGTGGTGCAATCAGGGTTTTGTTTGTGCAATGGGGTTTATAAAGGGGTACTTTGAGGGGCAAAAAGAAAAGAGGGTTTTACTATAGAACCCTATGGGATTTTATTTTTAAAAATTTTCAAATGATTATCAATTGAAAACCGTTTGTGATAGACACAATCTTTTTAATTGAAAATGTTCTAAATGATAAAGCCCATTAAATGAAAAACAGGGTTAGTCCCCAGGGGTCACCCCCACCCCCTGCCATTTAAGAAAGTTCTAATACCTTGTAAGTGGTCAAGATCCCCACCCCTAAACCATATATATTCTGGTTTGTCATGCTAAGATGGTTTGAATGATATACAGGGTTAGTCCCCAGGGGTCATCCCGACCCCCTGCCATTTGAGAAAGTTCTAATATCTTGTTAATGGTCGAGATCCCCACCCCTAAACCATATATATTCTGGTTTGTCATGATAAAGCACATCAAATATAATACAGGGTTAGTCCCCAGGGGTCACCCCCACCCCCTGCCATTTAAGAAAGTTCTAATATCTTCTAAGTGGTCAAGATCCCCACCCCTAAACCATATATATTCTGGTTTGTCATGCTAAGATGGTTTGAATGATATACAGGGTTAGTCCCCAGGGGTCATCCTGACACCCTGCCATTTGAGAAAGTTAAAATATCTTGTAAATGGTCGAGATCCCCACCCCTAAACCATATATATTCTGGTTTGTCATGATAAAGCAAATCAAATGAAATACAGGGTTAGTCCCCAGGGGTCACCCCACCCCCTGCCATTTAAGAAAGTTCTAATACCTTGTAAGTGGTCAAGATCCCCACCCCTAAACCATATATATTCTGGTTTGTCATGCTGAGATGGTTTGAATGATATACAGGGTTAGTCCCCAGGGGTCATCCCGACCCCCTGCCATTTGAGAAAGTTCTAATATCTTGTAAATGGTTGAGATCCCCACCCCTAAACCATATATATTCTGGTTTGTCATGATAAAGCACATCAAATGAAATACAGGGTTAGTCCCCAGGGGTCACCCCCACCCCCTGCCATTAAAGAAAGTTCTAATATCTTCTAAGTGGTCAAGATCCCCACCCATAAACCATATATATTCTGGTTTGTCATGCTAAGATGGTTTGAATGATATACAGGGTTAGTCCCCAGGGGTCATCCCGCCCCCCTGCCATTTGAGAAAGTTCTAATATCTTGTAAATGGTTGAGATCCCCACCCCTAAACCATATATATTCTGGTTTGTCATGATAAAGCACATCAAATGAAATACAGGGTTAGTCCCCAGGGGTCATCCCGACCCCCTGCCATTTGAGAAAGTTCTAATATCTTGTAAATGGTCGAGATCCCCACCCCTAAACCATATATATTCCTATTTGTCATGTCTCGAACATTTGAATGACGTATACGGTCAGTCCCCAGGGGTTCCCCCCACCCCCAATGTTCTAATATCTTGTAAATGGTTGAGATCCCCACCCCTAAACCATATATATTCCTGTTCCTCATGTAATGAACATTTGAATGACGTATAGGGCCAGTCCCCAGGGGTTCCTCCCCACCCCCAATGTTCTAGTATCTTGTAAATGGTCGAGATCCCCACCCCTAAACCATATATATTCTGGTTTGTCATGCCAAGATGATTTGAATGATATACAAGGTTAGTCCCCAGGCATCACTAATGCATATAACTTTACTGGACCAAACCAATTTTCACTGGATGTGGCCCAATGTCAGGCGACCCTGGGAATTACGAATTATGGGAGCTTCGTTTAGGAGACTTCGTAACAGCATCCTGTTACAATCATTTCTTGTTTGAAATGGGTTGGATTATTTGCCTCTAATAACATCACTGTAGATCTAATTTGTTCTTTGTGCTAGAAACATTATAATACATCACTGTAAATCTAATTTGTTCTAAGGACATTATGATATGAACACTGTAGATCTACTGTGGATTTATTTATTTTCATGGGTACCAATTGATCAAAAGTTGTATTTTTGTGTACATATTTAATTTCATAGTCTTGCCAATTCTTCATACAACCTTATGGAAAAGGAGTAGGTCCAGTAAGACCCCTTTTTGGCCCCAAAATATAGCATTGTTACAAATTTGTGAACATGTAAACTTTTAGCTACTTATTGGAAAGTAGAATACTTCTGTTCCATGAATATGGGCTGTTTTTATGCCCCCGCAGTAGCGGTGGGGGCAAAAAGTTTTACCCTTGTCCGTCTGTACGTACGTATGTCCGTCCGTACGTCCCAAAATTGGTTTCCGTTCTCTAACTTGAGTTTGCCTCAACCAAATGTTATGAAAGTTATACACAATGCTTATTACCACAAAATACAGATCGAGTTTGAATTTTGGTGGTGTCGTTTTAACCATTCTAGAGTTATGCCCCTTTATAAATGGAAAAATTGCAAAATTTTTAGTTTCCGTTCTCTAACTTAAGTTTGCCTCAACCAAATGTTATGAAACTTATATACAATGCTTATTACCACAAAATACAAATCAAGTTTGAATTTTGGTGGCGTCACTTTAACCGTTCTAGAGTTATGCCCTTTATAAATGGAAAAATTGCTAAATTTTTATTTTCTTCTAAATATCAAGAATTTGTTTTTTATTAAAATTGGAGTTATCTTCCTTTGTCCATAATTAAAGTTGAATCAACTACAATCAATGCTTTATACAATGCAATGTTTAATTTTGACTTCCACTGATAAAACACAGATCAAGTTGAATTTGGGTAGTGTCACTTTAACCATTATTGAGTTATGCCCCTTTATAAATCGAAAGATTGCAAAATATTTAGTTTCCATTCTGTAACTTAAGTTTGCCCCAACCAAACATTATGAAACCTAAGATCAAGTACAAATTTTTAGTTTCAGTTTTCTAACTTTAGTTTGCCTCAACCAAATGTTATGAAACTTATACACAGTGCTTATTACTACATAATACAGATTAAGTACGAAATTTGGTGGCGACACTTTTACCATTCTTGAGTTATGTCCCTTAATTTATATACATAAAAATTGCTGAATTTTTCGTTTCTGTTCTCTTAACTTTATTTTACAGTACAATGCACATGCATTAGGTAATAGCAGCATTAATTCATGCAATATTACTGAAATCCTCACAATTTTAGCATTTATGCTGATTTTACAACGGTTTTTGTCTAAAATGAAAGTGGCATTTGTGTTTAGTCTTAATATATATGTTGTATTTGATGTTATTACATTACATATATAGAGGTTAAGACTGAACAAGAATGTGGCTACTTCTATTTTTGTCAAAAACCGTCTAAAAAATGACGTTTTGTGGCATATTTAATAGATTTTTCATATACAAGCTTGAATTTGAGCGTCTTTATTAAATGACCAAATTAGTTCTTATCTTTTACATAAACTGATTGAATCAACTAAAGAAGACACTCAAGTGTTTAAAAAATGTCAAAAATCTTTCATTAGATGTACTTTGAATATCAGACCAAGTATAGCCCTTACCGGACCTTCTCCTTTGTAATTTGTTGAAAATTTAAATTTGTGGTTCACCTGTACCCATGAAATCAATGTTAACATAAATCCACAGTAATTTGTTCTTTGTGCTTTGGACATTATGGTACATCACTGTAGATCTAATTTGTTCTTTGTGCTTTGTACATCACTGTAGATCTAATTTGTTCTTTGTGCTTTGGACATTATGGTACATCACTGTAGATCTAATTTGTTAATTGTGCTTTGGACATTATGGTACATCACTGTAGATCTAATTTGTTCTTTGTGCTAAAAAGCATGTGGATATTTATTACATGTAGTTTTTTTTCTTTCAGGTATTATTGTGATTATTGTGACACTTATTTAACACATGACTCAGTAAGTATGTAGTGTTCAGTATTACTATAGTCTAGAAATATGTTTTTTTCACTTAGACTTGCAAACAATTTTAAAAAAAAATGTACAAAGTAAGAGAATCAGAAACCTATTATGTGTCAAATATTTAATTACAATCCAAATTCAGACCTGTATCAAGTGCGAATATTTTGTCCATTTTTGCCTCAACTGTTCAGGGATGGACCTCTGTGGTCGTATCCAGCTGCGCTTGGCGAAGCAATTTATTATACATTGTGACTTTGATGGAGAGTTGTCTAATTGGCACTCATGCATATATATATATATATATATATATATATATATACCACACAGGGCTTCCAAAATTATTTTTAGCCAGCTGGACATTTTATATATAATCCCGATTTTAATCCCTTAAGACTAAATAAATAAAAGGCAATTATGGAAATCAGTTGCCGAGTTGGCCATCCCAATACACCTTATCGCTATTCCCGGCTGACCCGGCCGCCTGAACTTTTTTGACGCCAACAACAATCACTTTTCCATTGTGGCGTCAGATATTTTGTTTTATGACGTCAAAATTTTACGGGAACCTGTGTGATATCCAGTAATGGCGGACAAAAAGCGATAAGGTGTATGAATAAACTTTCTTTGATTCAAATTCGAAATTCTGACGTAAACTGTTAAATTGGCAGTGCATCATTCGAAGTGTGCAACATCAGCGTACTTATATCTGCTTAGACTCTTTATTTGTGCAAAATAACGTTGTCAAAAACTTTACTTTCGTTTTAAATCTAAACCGGATGTTATCTTGACAATGGTAAAACATGGACCAGAGACGGATACATAAATTCCGTGTACGTTTGCAAAGCATGAATGAGTGTTTATAGCTCTTTCTACGTTATTTCTTCAAGAAAATATTCGAAATAAACGTGAGATAAAGGTATCAATGACAATTTAAGCATTTTTTGAAGAAATAAGGATGCATAATTAAATTTCACACCTGCACACATGCGCTCACGTGTACTAGTTCAAGCAGAGACATGTCTCTGGTTCAAACAACGTGGTTTTGACGATTTTTCATTTTCACCTTTTTAATTTTTTCATCAAATCATATTTGTAAACGTATTTCTGATAATTTAAATCTTTTTAACTAAATTAATTAGATGCAAACCGCTGAAATGTAAGAAAATAACTTTGAATAGACCGATCAATGTCCGGTTCAAAATAGTTTACCTGTCACCTGAACAGGTAGATTTCATCTGTTCGACAACTAATTAGCCTTGATTAAAATGAGAAGGTATTAAAGTAGGGGTTGTTTTGATAGTACTTAATGATCATGTCACTTTTATGACCGGAAATGTGTGGCTGTTAAAGGCAAAAGGTTGGGTCAAAAAGATCGCGAATTATGTTAAAATGACCGTCTCTTAAGCCTTGAAAACTAAAAAGTAGATGTCCGTTTCATGCTTTGCCCAGCCGGACTTTTACCGGACATTACACAAATGTCCGGAATATATGACCGTTTTGGAAGCCTTGATACCACATCTTCTTATTTATTTTAAGGGATTATAATCGAGAAATGACAAAAAATGTCTGGCTTGCTCAAATATTTTAGGAAACTCTGCTTCAATAATGATGAAATGAAAATCTGTTTTTATGCCCCCGCATTAGCGGAGGGGGCATTAAGTTTTACCTTTGTCCGTCTGTACGTCAGTACGTACGTCTGTACGTCCCAAAGTTGGTTTCCGTTCTCTAACTTAAGTTTGCCTCAACCAAATATTATGAAACTTATACACAATGCTTATTACTACGTATACAATAATCAGATCAAGTTTGAATTTTGATGCCGTCACTTTTACTGTTCTAGAGTTGTGCCCTTTACAAATTGAAAAATTGCTGAAAAATTTCAAAAATATCAATCAAGTAAATTTTTTTTATACGAAGACGGATGATTTCCAGATAATAACTTTAGTATAAGTAAATAGAAATCAATAAAATTTTAACACAAGGTTTATAACAACTAAAGGAAGGTTGGGATTTTTTTGGGGGGTTTTGGTCCCAACAGTTTAGGAATTAGGGGCCAAAAGGGTCCAAAATTAAACTTTGTTTGATTTCATCAAAAATTGAATCATTGGGGTTCTTTGATACGCCGAATCTAACCGTGTGTTTAGATTCTTAATTTTTGGTCCTGTTTTCAAATTGGTCTACATTAAGGTCCAAAGGGTCCAAAATTAAATTAGTTTCATTTTAACAAAAATTGAATTCTTGGGGTTCTTTGATATGCTGAATTTGAACATGTATTTAGATTTTTGATTATCGGCCCAGTTTTCAAGTTGGTCCAAATCGGGGTCCAAAATGAAACTTTGTTTGATTTCAACAAAAATTGAATATATGGGGTATTTCGATATGCTGAATCTAACCAGGTATTTAGATTTTTTATATTTGGGCCCCGTTATCAAATTGGTCCACATTAAGGTCTAAAGGGTCCAAAATTGAACTTTATTTGATTTCATCAAAAATTGAATTCTTGGGGTTCTTTGATATGCTGAATCTAACCATGTAATTAGATTTTGGATATTGGACCATAAAAGGTAAATGTCCAATTTAAAAATTTTAAGTTCTTAGACCACATTCATTCTGTGTCAGAAACCTACATGTATGCTGTGTCAACTATTTAATCACAATCCAAATTCAGAGCTGTATCAAGCTTGAATGTTGTGTCCATACTTGCCCCAACTGTTCAGGGTTCGACCTCTGTGGTCGTATCAAGCTGCGTACAGCGGAGGATTTTATTAAAATTTGAGTTATCTTCCTTTGTCCATATCAACTACAATCAATGCTTTTTAAAATCTTCTTTGAAAATTGAAGTTATCTTTCTTTGTCCAGAATAGTAGTTGAATCAACTAAAACCAATGCTTTGTACGATGCAATATTCAATTTTACTACCAACTGATAAATTAAAGCAATCTTTACCATTCAGTGCTTACAAGCACTTTGATTACCATTTTTTACCAAATGTAAAAATTGCTTGATTTTTTCGTTTCTGTTCTCTTAATTTAAGTTTGTCTCAATTAATTTTTTTAAATTTTAGCCTTCAGTAAGAAAGACACACTGCAATGGAAGAAAACACAAAGAAAATGTACGAGTATATTATCAAAAATGGTTAGAAGAACAAGTACAGAAATTAGTTGATGATACAAGTAAGTTGGAAGTAGAGATATTAAAAAGTTGTATATCATATTTGTTTTTCATACATTGTTTTGTCCATATAAATCAGGCTGTTAGATTTGTTGAATTGTTTAACATTTTTCATTTTGTGGTGTTTAATAGCTTGCTATGCAGTATGGATTTGACTCATCCTGGAAGGCTATAATCATACCTGTCAATCTCTAAAATCCTGCATTGAAAAAAAAAATCTCAGGTCATAATGCGGACAAACTTTTGTACAGCTGAATTTAACTATTAGGGGACATTTCTTTATATTTTAAATGAAAAATATGTTCACGTTCTCTGGAAGTTAACCAATCAAATTTTCACTTCTTTTTCAACTGTGTACAAGCTTTAGTAAAGAAGTGGTGCTTTGAAACACCCAAGATATATGTTTATGACTCAGAAATATTTTACTGCAATGTCCTACAACTGTCAAATTCAAGGGAATATTTTTTTCAACCCTTTTTCATTTGCAAGTGGATGTGACGTACTATAAGTTTGGTGGTATTACACCTAAAAAATAAATAAATGTTATAAAACTTGTTTTCTATTTTAGCGGCTGCATTCAAGGCAGGAAAGATAGCCTCTAATCCATTCCAAGCAGGCACGCCTGGTCCAGGAGGGGTTATGATTCCTCCACCTTCAAATATGCAAGGTAAGAAAAAAAAGGAAAATATCATTAATCAAAGACAACCTGCTCGGCAAAATGACAGTCATGGTCTATTGACTTTGAAACTTTTGCTTATTTTCATGTATTAGTTTGTGATTAAATTGGTTTATCATGTTTATTTGGAACCACTAATGGAAGGTTAATGATATTTGGTATACAGTTGTATTAGCATTGGCACATCTCATTTCCATGGAGATTATTTGGCCTGGTCCCCCTCAGTTACTGTTTATTGACTTTAAAATTTTGCTTTCTTTACATGTATTAGTTTGTGTTTAGGTTTTTTTTAAAGGAAACTACTTATGATAAGTCAATGTTATTTGGTAGGCAGTTGAATTAGCATTGGTACATCTTATTTCCATGGAAATTGTTTAGCCATATACCTTCAGTCATGGTTCATTGACTTTGAATATTTGCAAAACTTACATGTTAAAGTGTTGCAATTTTAATTTCAACATTTGCATTATCGAAATAACAAAAAAGACGAGACATATCTCTGTGTTAACAGTTTATTTACAGATATTAATTAATTACTTGATTAGATTATTGTCAGCTTACATAACTAGTACATTGAGTAAATGGGCTATTAATTATGATATAAAATTTCTTGGACTATTATCTAGTCCTAGATAATGATATTGAGGGTTTTACGTTCAAAAGTCAACGACCAACATTGGCAACAATACATAAAATTGGTTATTCAAGTTATTGTTATAGTAAAATACAACGCTCTTGGTTACTGTGTACTATAATGGAATATAAACATTCAGTAAGTTCTTTCAAATGTTATGTGTGTATTTAATTCTCATTGTCTTACGTTACACAACACAAAAATGTAACACTTGATCATAAATAGTGTACTATATAATTTTAATTGGTAAACTATTCATACGCGACAAAATTTAATTTAAAACTGCATATTTAATTAACATTAAACGAATCGGTATATAACTTAAGATGTTATTTGTTCTTATCGTACTTTTACATTACAACAATTGTTTATAAGATGTAAATATTATTTTTGTAAAGACTATATTTGCAATTAATTAATAATATTCCTTTATCAAAATTCTATATTCAAACTTTTATAATGAATACAATTAATTTAAAGTACTTTGTAAAGATACTATTATGTAAACAGACGTAAAAATGACACTACTACATTGTCAGCCTGACATGCATATAATGACTAAAAATGTATGCAATACATGTATCCCTATCCATATGAGATCATATGACAGTACATGCAATTTAAAAAATATAATTTTTCGTTAAATTGAAACAGAATAGACAGATCACATCTGATGTTTACAAAGATTTAAGGAAATATAAAGTACTTGTGAAACGAACAAATTGTAACAGATGTATAATTTTTTCAACTTTCTCCCTTGTGGCTATGTGGTCAAGTCTTAATCATTGAACAAAAGTTGATTAGTTTCACTATTCATTGATCTTTTATAGTTTCTCAGCTTGGGTCTAATCATTCTTTTTGTAATTATCTCAGGTAAAATGTTGTCCATGAACATAATTTTACCCATGTAAGACTTTGCAATTGTAAGTGTTAAAAATGCCAAACAAACAAACAATTGACCTAGAACTCATAAGGAAATCTTTATGATTATTACTTAATCATATAATGCATGTTTATTCAATGTTTGTTTCTAAATTAAACAACTGGATTTTATTTTTCATGTCTGAAATTGAAATATTTAAAATCTTTTACAGGAAATAAACCTGGAGGTCCACCAGGACCAACACCCGCAGGTCCAGGAGGACCAGGGCCAATGCCACAAATGGGAGGCCCAATGCCTGGTGGCCCTATGCCATTAATGGGACCTCCACATGGTGGACCTATGCCACCAATGATGCAGTGTAAGTTGTTCAACAATTCACTTTTAAGCAAGGATTTACCCAGAGCAAATTAAATGCAGGCAGGAAAATTGCTTATGCATAGTAGACTTTTATATATGTCATCTTGTGAGCCCTTTAACCAATAATAACTTACACTATGGTGGAGTAAGTACGTCTGTCCCAGAATTGGTTTCTGTTCTCTAACTTATGTTTGCCTCAACCAAATGTTATGAAACTTATACATAATGCTTATAAGAACAAAACACAGATCAAGTTTTGGTGGTGTGACTTTAACCGTTCTAGAGTTATGCTCCTTTACAAATGGAAAAATTGCTGATTTTTTTGTTTCCGTTCTCTAACTCAGGTTGGCCTCAAACAAAAAGTATGAAACTTATACACAATGCTTTTTACCACAAAACTTAGATCAAGTAAAAATTTGGGTATTGTCACTTTTATTGTTCTTTAGTTATATCCCTTTATAACTTTATTTGATATACAAGCGTTGGCATCATCTGTGTCCCATGGACACATGGGACACATTCCACATTTATTTTTAATGCCCCTGCTGTAGTGGAGAGGGAATTTAGTTATGGGTGCAATCAACAGTTTTTTTCTATGACGTCATATTTTAAGGGACCATGCCTAAGTGACCCTTAGTGGTGGAATGGTTAATAAAGATATTATTAAATATATATAACTATGTATAAAACTAGATATCACTGGAATCAGAATTTTCTCTTGTTTATATTGAAATAAAAATATTGTGTACTTTTAATATAGTAAAAAATTTCTATCCAGAGAAAATGGGGAAAAAGTTGCCTAATCTGAACATAAAAAACCTGAAATCAGGTCATGTGCATACCCATGTAAACATGATACAGGCACATTTCCCATAATCAAAACTGTATGAAATTCATAGGTTTTTACCTGGCCTTTAATAAAAATCTTGTTTCAGGGTACAGTTTCCTGCTTCGAAAAGAGCTACAGTGGCTGCAAATAAGTTTTTAATTTTCACTGCCAAAAAAACAGGATGTTTACAGTGTTGTCTCTCCTCAAAACATGTATATTTAATCTAATTTTTAAAATTATTTTAATCATTCAACCTGTTTAAATTGAAAGCTAATTAACTAATTTTTACAATCAAATACAAAAAACATGATACTTTTTCACCAATTATATGAATAAAAAGGGATTTCCCTCCATGGTTATTTTTAGTCTGAGAATAACCCCTAGTTTTTTTTACGTAAACTGTTTATAGCACCCTTAAGCAAAACTTTGTATGCGATATATAAAAAATTCTCTACTTTTCTGAATCTGTACATTATACTGATTAAAATGATGTCTTACTTTAAGGATTGCGACCATCGATAGTGAAACTACAGCTCATTTTTTATGTCGCATAGTATTGGCATATTGGCCAGTGGCAAATAGTTAAACTGGCATATTCCAAACATTTCCTGTATAACACTTTCATCAGTTATGCAAAGAAAAAAAAATCATAAAATTGGGTTTCTGTTGAACATGTTGAATAAATAGAATAAAAACTATGAAATAAACATAAATAAAGTTACTTTAAACAGATTTTGTCCCTAGTATTATATGAACTAAGGTGAAGCTGAGTTGAGAAAAATATTGAAATAGTGTATTTCTTAGGAACGGCACTTGTAGCTATTTGACTATAAAAAGTACCAAATATATAATATAATGAATAAAAATGTATGTTACACTGATCAATAGTAAAGGTCAAAGTAGAAAAAATCTACACTTTTCTTGTGCAACTTTTGGTTCCAAATATATGAGAGAATGAATAAAAATATTATGACATCGCAAAAAGATGAAAAAACTTCAAAATTTGCACACAGTCTGGTTTTCTTATATCTGGTTGCTACATGTATGTACAAATCTATAATATTTGCATTAAATATACCAAACTGATACTTTTAAATTAATGTATGCATGCCATATGATATTTTTCAGAATTGTTTTACTCCATTCTCTAACACATTTCTATGCTAAAACCTCACTATATTATATGTTTGACCCTTTAAGCAAAACTTTGTATGCGATATATAAAAAATTCTCTACTTTTCTGAATCTGTACATTATACTGATTAAAATGATGTCTTACTTTAAGGATTGCGACCATCGATAGTGAAACTACAGCTCATTTTTTATGTCGCATAGTATTGGCATATTGGCCAGTGGCAAATAGTTCAACTGGCATATTCCAAACATTTCCTGTATAACACTTTCATCAGTTATGCAAAGAAAAAAAAATCATAAAATTGGGTTTCTTTTGAATAAATAGAATAAAAACTATGAAATAAACATAAATAAAGTTACTTTTAACAGATTTTGTCCCTAGTATTATATGAACTAAGGTGAAGCTGAGTTGAGAAAAATATTGAAATAGTGTATTTCTTAGGAACGGCACTTGTAGCTATTTGACTATAAAAAGTACCAAATATATAATATAATGAATAAAAATGTATGTTACACTGATCAGTAGTAAAGGTCAAAGTAGAAAAAGTCTACACTTTTCTTGTGCAACTTTTGGTTCCAAATATATGAGAGAATGAATAAAAATATTATGACATCGCAAAAAGATGAAAAAACTTCAAAATTTGCACACAGTCTGGTTTTTTCTTATATCTGGTTGCTATGTACAAATCTGTAATATTTGCATTAAATATACCAAACTGATGCTTTTAAATTAATGTATGCATGCCATATGATATTTTTCAGAATTGTTTTACTCCAATCACTAACACATTTCTATGCTAAAACCTCACTATATTATATGTTTGACCCTTTAAGCAAAACTTTGTATGCGATATATAAAAAATTCTCTACTTTTCTGAATCTGTACATTATACTGATTAAAATGATGTCTTACTTTAAGGATTGCGACCATTGATAGTGAAACTACAGCTCATTTTTTATGTCGCATAGTATTGGCATATTGGCCAGTGGCAAATAGTTAAACTGGCATATTCCAAACATTTCCTGTATAACACTTTCATCAGTTATGCAAAGAAAAAAAAATCATAAAATTGGGTTTCTGTTGAATAAATAGAATAAAAACTATGAAATAAACATAAATAAAGTTACTTTAAACAGATTTTGTCCCTAGTATTATATGAACTAAGGTGAAGCTGAGTTGAGAAAATATTGAAATAGTGTATTTCTTAGGAACGGCACTTGTAGCTATTTGACTATAAAAAGTACCAAATATATAATATAATGAATAAAAATGTATGTTACACTGATCAGTAGTAAAGGTCAAAGTAGAAAAAATCTACACTTTTCTTGTGCAACTTTTGGTTCCAAATATATGAGAGAATGAATAAAAATATTATGACATCGCAAAAAGATGAAAAAACTTCAAAATTTGCACACAGTCTGGTTTTCTTATATCTGGTTGCTACATGTATGTACAAATCTATAATATTTGCATTAAATATACCAAACTGATACTTTTAAATTAATGTATGCATGCCATATGATATTTTTCAGAATTGTTTTACTCCATTCTCTAACACATTTCTATGCTAAAACCTCACTCTATTATATGTTTGACCCTTTAAGCAAAACTTTGTATGCGATATATAAAAAATTCTCTACTTTTCTGAATCTGTACATTATACTGATTAAAATGATGTCTTATTTAAGGATTGCGACCATTGATAGTGAAACTACAGCTCATTTTTTATGTCGCATAGTATTGGCATATTGGCCAGTGGCAAATAGTTCAACTGGCATATTCCAAACATTTCCTGTATAACACTTTCATCAGTTATGCAAAGAAAAAAAAATCATAAAATTGGGTTTCTTTTGAATAAATAGAATAAAAACTATGAAATAAACATAAATAAAGTTACTTTAAACAGATTTTGTCCCTAGTATTATATGAACTAAGGTGAAGCTGAGTTGAGAAAAATATTGAAATAGTGTATTTCTTAGGAACGGCACTTGTAGCTATTTGACTATAAAAAGTACCAAATATATAATATAATGAATAAAAATGTATGTTACACTGATCAGTAGTAAAGGTCAAAGTAGAAAAAGTCTACACTTTTCTTGTGCAACTTTTGGTTCCAAATATATGAGAGAATGAATAAAAATATTATGACATCGCAAAAAGATGAAAAAACTTCAAAATTTGCACACAGTCTGGTTTTTTCTTATATCTGGTTGCTATGTACAAATCTGTAATATTTGCATTAAATATACCAAACTGATGCTTTTAAATTAATGTATGCATGCCATATGATATTTTTCAGAATTGTTTTACTCCATTCACTAACACATTTCTATGCTAAAACCTCACTATATTATATGTTTGACCCTTTAAGCAAAACTTTGTATGCGATATATAAAAAATTCTCTACTTTTCAGAATCTGTACATTATACTGATTAAAATGATGTCTTACTTTAAGGATTGCGACCATTGATAGTGAAACTACAGCTCATTTTTTATGTCGCATAGTATTGGCATATTGGCCAGTGGCAAATAGTTAAACTGGCATATTCCAAACATTTCCTGTATAACACTTTCATCAGTTATGCAAAGAAAAAAAAATCATAAAATTGGGTTTCTGTTGAATAAATAGAATAAAAACTATGAAATAAACATAAATAAAGTTACTTTAAACAGATTTTGTCCCTAGTATTATATGAACTAAGGTGAAGCTGAGTTGAGAAAATATTGAAATAGTGTATTTCTTAGGAACGGCACTTGTAGCTATTTGACTATAAAAAGTACCAAATATATAATATAATGAATAAAAATGTATGTTACACTGATCAGTAGTAAAGGTCAAAGTAGAAAAAATCTACACTTTTCTTGTGCAACTTTTGGTTCCAAATATATGAGAGAATGAATAAAAATATTATGACATCGCAAAAAGATGAAAAAACTTCAAAATTTGCACACAGTCTGGTTTTCTTATATCTGGTTGCTATGTACAAATCTGTAATATTTGCATTAAATATACCAAACTGATGCTTTTAAATTAATGTATGCATGCCATATGATATTTTTCAGAATTGTTTTACTCCATTCACTAACACATTTCTATGCTAAAACCTCACTATATTATATGTTTGACCCTTTAAGCAAAACTTTGTATGCGATATATAAAAAATTCTCTACTTTTCTGAATCTGTACATTATACTGATTAAAATGATGTCTTACTTTAAGGATTGCGACCATCGATAGTGAAACTACAGCTCATTTTTTATGTCGCATAGTATTGGCATATTGGCCAGTGGCAAATAGTTAAACTGGCATATTCCAAACATTTCCTGTATAACACTTTCATCAGTTATGCAAAGAAAAAAAAATCATAAAATTGGGTTTCTGTTGAATAAATAGAATAAAAACTATGAAATAAACATAAATAAAGTTACTTTAAACAGATTTTTTCCCTAGTATTATATGAACTAAGGTGAAGCTGAGTTGAGAAAAATATTGAAATAGTGTATTTCTTAGGAACGGCACTTGTAGCTATTGGACTTTAAAAAGTACCAAATATATAATATAATGAATAAAAATGTATGTTACACTGATCAGTAGTAAAGGTCAAAGTAGAAAAAATCTACACTTTTCTTGTGCAATTTTTGGTTCCAAATATATGAGAGAATGAATAAAAATATTATGACATCGCAAAAAGATGAAAAAACTTCAAAATTTGCACACAGTCTGGTTTTCTTATATCTGGTTGCTATGTACAAATCTGTAATATTTGCATTAAATATACCAAACTGATGCTTTTAAATTAATGTATGCATGCCATATGATATTTTTCAGAATTGTTTTACTCCATTCACTAACACATTTCTATGCTAAAACCTCACTATATTATATGTTTGACCCTTTAAGCAAAACTTTGTATGCGATATATAAAAAATTCTCTACTTTTCTGAATCTGTACATTATACTGATTAAAATGATGTCTTACTTTAAGGATTGCGACCATCGATAGTGAAACTACAGCTCATTTTTTATGTCGCATAGTATTGGCATATTGGCCAGTGGCAAATAGTTAAACTGGCATATTCCAAACATTTCCTGTATAACACTTTCATCAGTTATGCAAAGAAAAAAAAATCATAAAATTGGGTTTCTGTTGAATAAATAGAATAAAAACTATGAAATAAACATAAATAAAGTTACTTTAAACAGATTTTGTCCCTAGTATTATATGACCTAAGGTGAAGCTGAGTTGAGAAAAATATTGAAATAGTGTATTTCTTAGGAACGGCACTTGTAGCTATTTGACTATAAAAAGTACCAAATATATAATATAATGAATAAAAATGTATGTTACACTGATCAGTAGTAAAGGTCAAAGTAGAAAACATCTACACTTTTCTTGTGCAACTTTTGGTTCCAAATATATGAGAGAATGAATAAAAATATTATGACATCGCAAAAAGATGAAAAAACTTCAAACTTCAAAATTTGCACACTGTTTGGTTTTCTTATATCTGGTTGCTATTTACAAATTTGTAATATTTGCATTAAATATACCAAACTGATTTTCCCTCCATGGTTATTTTTAGTCGGGGAATAACCCCTAGTTTTTTATACGAAACTGTTTATAGCACCCTATACACTTTTCTGTCTATATTCTCCGTGTTAGTCTGAATCTGCCGAGTTTAAGGAAAATTCTAGCACAAAGTGTAACATGAAACAACAGGGTTTTTTCAAGGGATGTAGGGCTGTTGTTTAAACACTTTGTCATGGCCTTTGAAATAGTGGTCATGTCCTAATTTAATGATTTCATAGTGTTCAACATCAGGCAACTATTGTTGTGTCTTAACATATCTCTTATTCATTTAATTCCTCACATTTTCTTCTATTTCAGCAATGAGACCTATGGGCCCAGTGATGGGTGGTCCACCAATGGGAATGAGACCCGGTCCATTATTAGCAGGGCCAATGCCACCCAGACCTATGAGAAATTAGTTAAGGACTAAAAACAATAAAAATGGATTTTGTTAACTCAGATTTTAAGAAATATGAATAAATGGAGGAATTCATATTCAACAAGTGTAAAAAGAATGCTTAATTTTGCAGAGCCCAGGGCAGAACTTTTATGTAAATTTTATATTACATGCCTTAGAAATGAAGAGGAACAAGATGGTTCTTTTATTTTATGTGTGCTTCTTAAGAACGAACTCACTTCAATATAGGTGCCTCTTAAGAACGAACTCACTTCAATATAGGTTTCTATTAAGAACGAACTCACTTCAATATAGGTGCCTCTTAAAAGCGAACTCACTTCAATATAGGTGCCTCTTAAGAGCGAACTCACTTCAATATAGGTTTCTATTAAGAATGAACTCACTTCAATATAGGTGCCTCTTAAGAGCAAACTCACTTCAATATAGGTTTAGGTAATGATTTTTTATATAAGTTGTCATGATTCAAAATAAGTTATATTATATATGTGAAGTAAACATTTGTATACTGTGTAAATAGAAATTTGTTTCATCTTTCATGGAAAATTTCAACTTTACCAGTTTTTATCTACAAACACATATACATGTATATGCATGTTTTAAATTAATATGATTTTTCAGAGATATTAATATAAAAAAGTTACTTGAGTCTTAATATTGTTAGAAGTTTTCAACTTTACCAGTTTTTATCTACAAACACATATACATGTATATGCATGTTTTAAATTAATATGATTTTTCAGAGATATTAATATAAAAAAGTTACTTGAGTCTTAATATTGTTAGAAGTTTTCATTTTCAGGGGGAAATTCTCAATATTATGTGGTTTATGCACAGTTTTATGAAATTAAGAATGATCAGAATTGTATCACAAAAGATAAAAAAAAATCTCATGTCATTGTTGTTGAATTACATGTGGTCTTACATTTACACCATATCACCTTTAATCCATATTCAACAAAAGTTTTCAGTAGAGCAGTTAAAATGCATTCACAAATTATATTTTGGGAATATATACATCTGTTCAAACTCATATTTGTATACTTATTTTTGTCAGTTCTACTTATGTTTATTTCTCTAGTATTTAAAACGGATGATAATTCATCAGCGAAAGAGAATAACTCATTTTAGAAGAAATAATTTGTCCCATAAACAATAATGTAATATGCTTTGATATGAAACTGTTCATATAAAAAATTAAAAAAAAATTAGAGAGAAAAATTTTACTCACAGTTTTGTACAAAAGAGAAAGAAAAGTGTTTCTTTAAATGTTCATAGCATATTTTTATCTTTTCATTCATTCAATAAAATAATTTTATCAGTGGTTATTAGTTTTTCTCTTATTCTTTCTAGATTTATATTTTTTCCTGATTCAGATTGGTTGATTATTTTCAAATTTGCATCACTATAAAAAAGAAGATGTGGTATGATTGCCAATGAGACAAAACAAATGTCAACTTGTTGAGTTATGTCTTCTAATAAATGGAAAAATGCTAAATATGCTGTTACCCCACTCTGATTTTACTTTGCTATAACCTAGCTTAATCAAAATGCTAATTATAACACAGATTAACTCAATTTGGGATGGCGTCACTTTCACATTTCTCAAATTGTGTTCCTTTAAAAATGAAATAAATGCTGAATTTGCTATTTCAGCACTAACTTAAATTTGCTACAACAAATTATTTTGAAACTTATACACAATTCTTTTACCACCTGTCACCAAATAAAGATCACGTTGGAATTTGGTGATGTAACTTTCATGGATCTTGTGTTATGCCCTTAATAAATGGAGAATTGACAAAATTGGTGTTTTGTACACTGAAACCCCCAGAGCCATTTCTAAAGACCATATACTGAAACAAAATTCATTTCAAAGTTCAAAGAAAACTATAGGTTTGAAATAGTACATTGACTCTTGCATATTTACAAAAAGGGGCCTCCGTTTCCATGGACACATTCTTCTGTTTTATACTGTAAATTCAGAAATTATTGTGATGTTTTTATTATTACAAAAATGCGTCAGGGTTATAATTGCAATAATTTAAACTTGCATTTTGAAATTTTAGATATGAATTAATAAGGATTTTTCTCAATATCGCAAAAATTTAAATCGCATTTTAGTCTAAAATGACAAAATCGCAATAATAAATGCACGCAATATTTTCTGAATTTACAGTAATCAAGGTCTTGTTCTTTTGATCTCAGTTCTTTACTGGTCAACATTCAATTATAACCTCAAATTGTCTTGCTTTACTCTGCATTTTTATATGACCCAAAAAAAAATTGCAGTCAATATTTACTATGTACGATATTTACAAATGTTTATTATTCTTATCTTATCTTATGAAATATAAAGCATGTAAAGTAAAAGCCCTAGAGTACCGAAAGACTGCCTTATGACTGACATTACTGAATGCAACTTGTTTATATTTTGACCAAGCCGTCGGATAATTGACAAGTGATAAAAGTTTCATTGAACAATTATACACAGGTGACAGAAATACTCGATAAACATATGGCTTATGTCACACGCCAAGGACGAGTAAAGGTAAATACCGGCTATGATAGAAAAGTGCATGTTTTTGTCAAAACATTGATCGGAAGGGTTTGATGCCAAAAACATTCGAAAACTTTTAAATTCCGCTATTTCACATTCCAATGTGGATTTAAGGACCTTCACCTGTCCAGCATGCTCAGTCACGTGGATATTGATGATTCATCAAATTGACAGCTGAAAAACATTGACTCAACGACAGTTCGTACATATCACAGAGTTCGTACATATCACAGCCTCCTTTAGTGTTACGATTTAATAACAACTAATTTGTACACAAATCGTTACAAGGATAATGCAGACAAGTCAGCTTCTACTTAGAATAACTCAGTGTATCAAGACAAGTGCTGTAGCAATTATTTACATGATTAAATAAAATATGTCCATGTAATAGCAAAATGACTTTCTTACTCTTAGTGCTAGTCCAAATAATTATGAAGAACCAACAATCTCAAATGTTATTGCCTCAATGCTAAATTTCACAGCATCAACTATAAAATGTGTTACAGGGTTATAAGCACCTCTATGAATCTAGTGTATATAAACTTTTTATTCCTGTCGTCATACTGCTATTGTTATGTCCCCACCGTATTAAGTTTTACCTTTTTCTTCTGTAAGTATGTACGTCCCTTACTTGTACATACGTCCGTACATCCAAAAATTGGTTTCTGGTCTCTAACTTTTAGTTTTCGGCATAAACCAAATTGTATGATACTTATACGCAATGCTTATATCCACAAAACACAGGTCAAGTTGAATTTTGGTGGCGTCTATTTTACAATTCTATAGTTATGCTCCTTAACAAATTGGTTTCCCAGTGTTCTCTAACTAGTTTAGTTTTCCTAAACCAAATTGTATGAAACTTATAGGCAATACTAAATTCCACAAAACACAGGTCAAGTTGAATTTTGGTGGCTTCTATTTTACAATTCTAGAGTTATGCTCCTCAACAAATTGGTTTCTGTTCTCTAACTTTAGTTTTCCTAACCCAAATTGTATGAAACTTATAGGCAATACTAAATTCCACAAAACACAGGTCAAGTTGAATTTTGGTGGCGTCGCTTTTACAATTCTTTGAGTTATGCTCCTTAACAAACGGAAAAGTTGCTTGATTTTTTTTGTTTACGATCTCTAACTTTAGTTTGTCTCAACCAAATGTTATGAAACTTATACACAATGCTCATTATCAAATTTGAGTTTTGGTGGCGTCAGTTTTACTGTTCTAGAGTTGTGCCCCTTTACAAATTCAAAAATTGTGATTGTTGTCGAGTCAACGACTTTTGTCGAAAAAGCGAGACATAGCGATCCTACATTTTGTCTGCGGCGTCCACAAATATTCACTCTTTGGTTAAAGTTTTGAAATTTTAATAACTTTCTTAAACTATCCTGGATTTCTACCAAATTTGGACAGAAGCTTGTTTATTATCATATAATACGTAGTATCCAGAAGTAAATTTTGTAAAAAAAAATCCATTTTTTCAGTATTTTACTTTTAAATGGACTTAGTTTTTCTGCCAGGAAACATTACATTCACTCTGTGGCTAAAGTTTTTAAAATTCTAATAACTTTCTTAAACTATCCTGGATTTGTACCAAACTTGGACAGAAGCTTGTTTATGAACTAAAGCTAGTATCTGGAAGGAAATTTAGTTAAAATTTTGTTCTTGTTTTTCCGTATTTTACTTATTAATGGACTTAGCTTTTCTTCCAGTTAACATTACATACAGTCTGCAGTTAATTTTTTTTTAAACATTTATTAGATTCATAATTTGACTATCCTGGATTTTTACCAAACTTGGACAGAAGCTTCTTACAATTAAAAGATAGTATAGAGAGGAATATTTTTATTAATTTTTTTCCTCATTTTTGTTGAGCCTGCGATTAACAGCAAAAGTAGGCGAGATACCGGGTTCCGCGGAACACTTACGGTTTTTTTTTCAATTCCGTGCTCTAACTTCAGTGTGCCTCAACCAAATGTTATGAAACTTATACACAATACTTTTAACCACAAAACCAAGATCAAGTTTGAATTTTAGTGCCGTCATTTTACTGTTATCATGGTTAGGGTTATGCCCAGTTACAAATGGGAAAAAAATACTGCAAAATCACAGGCCCTAGATATGGCATGGGCATATAAAGAAATTAACAGAGCTTATTGCATATTTGATTATTTTAGAACAACAGTTAAAGGTTTCAATAGAAAATATCAAAATTTTATATGACAAACATATGAAAAAAAGTGATTTTTGATAATTGCTAAAAAGAAAATGGTTTAGTTAAAAACATCAAAGCTGTGATTATATTATATATCATATTAAATACATATTTGAAATAATAGACATCTATAACCTATTTGAAATAATACAGATCTACAGTTGCAAACTTCCCAGAGGTGCTATCCAGAACGTTGATGGTTTGTACAAATGGCATGTGACCTTGCTAACATCAATACATTCGCTATCAAAGCCCTCTTGCGGAAAAACACGTTTTAGGTGTATTAAGGCATCAGACTTTAGCGTAGACCATCGCACTTAAGTTTGACCATCGCGTTTTAGCGTCCCCATCACACCTTCGAGTTCTACATTTATACCCAAGTCAGAGGTCTTTTCATTCTTGTGTTTGTTAACGAAAATTTTTCAGGAAATTTTAAAAATAATATATCATAAAGCACTAAAATACTTAAACATGCAGTTATAAAAGTCACAACTGAAACTAAAGCACTAACTTACATACCAAAATTTACTATAGTATACTATGATCATTTAATTCATGAAGTCAATAAAGTTACTATTTTAACCAAGCACTATACACATAATAAGCACACCCAATAAGTTCATAAAGTCACTACTATTAAACATTTAATCAGACTCGTAGAGCGGAATCTTCTGAGTCGGAATCTGGGAGGGTCTCTGGTTGAGGAACGGGGGGTGCATAGAGATGGCCTACTGAACGGAGGAAGTCTGATGTTCGGATACTGTCTTCCTCGTACTGGTCCCAGAGAAAAGTTAGACGGCCTTGTAGCTGACGACGCTCGCCACATACAACCTTGGGCAAATAACTGCTTGTACCCCCCAGTTCGTAATACGAATGTACAGAAACAAACAATCCTAAGGAATACTACACAAACTCCAGTTCAACAGCCTTTTTTAGCAGTACAGAGCCTCAACCCAAGCCATATGTAACCAACAAATCAAGCGTCAAAATACCAGAGAGTTCCCAACTGCATCTAATTTCATTTAACTGTAAAAACATAAAAACCTGTGGTCCAATAATACACAAACTCCTACAATCTAACGACATAATTCTTATTCAGGAACATTGGCTATTTCAAACACAGATACATCTTCTTGGCGAAATCCATGAAAACATAAATTACATAGGCAAAGGAGTTGATGTAAACGAACCGCTGTTACCGATATGTATGCCCCGAGGATATGGAGGAGTGGCTATCTTGTGGAAGAGAGAAATTGACCACTTGATAAAGCCAATCGAACTAGGGTCAGAAAGGATACAGTGTGTGGAAATAAATGAAAACAACAATCCAAACATAATATTAACATCAGTTTATCTGCCAGCAAAAGGGAGTAAAAATCATCTGTCTGAATACCAAGAAGTTATCGATCAATTATACGAACTATACCAAAAGTATAATGAAACGCACAAAATCATCATAGGAGGCGATCTAAATGAAGATCTAAATATACAAACAGGCACGAAACGCAACCTCTATCTCCGTGATTTCATAAATGAATGCAACCTGAAATACGACA